GGTTCATAGATCTTACATTTCAGGTTCCTATGCAGTATTTTTCTTTGCAGCATTTGACTTTCCTTTCACTTCCAGGCGCGTCCGCAGCTGAGCATCCTTTCGGTTTTGGCCCAACCACTTCATTAACTCTGGAGCTACTTGTACTTGTCCTCCGCTCTTCCTCAGTAGCATGTTTGATGCCTTCTGACATGAGGGGCTCATCTTCCAGCATCGTATCTTTTAGCCTTTTGTTTCTGTTCATGGAATTTTGTCGGCAAAGATACTGGAGTGGCTTGCCAGTTCCTGCTCCAGTTGGATCGCGTTTAGTCAGAACTCTCCACTATGACCTGTCCGTCTTCAGTGGCCCTGCATGGCATAGCCCATAGCTTCTCTGAATTACTCAAGCCCCTTCGCCATGACAAGGCAGCAATCCGTGATATCTCAGTGCAAAGCTACCAGTGCCTGCCTCGCCCCCTCAAGTTAAGGACACATACAAACAGGGAACACAAAAAGACAAGTTGATTCATCAAAAAGATTCAAACCAGCCATCCAGTGTTATTGTGCTCACCACTTCATACAAGAAGGTGACACTTTCTTCACAATGCAAGCTTTCATGGAGAAAATTCAACTTCTTCAGTCTGTCACAACCTTTTCATGGATATTGGCTGGTCCACTAAATGGACAGGGTATAATTGTAAGCAAATAAACAGATAAAATAAATAGTGCAGAATTTGTTTAATTTTTATTGGTCCAATAAACCACCCACACTTACATTTTTGTAACCTTGGGACCACACAGCCTTTTCCTTGTACTTTGTTCACAGTTCATAATGTGCCTTTTACATACAATAAATGCACAAAAAAGTCTTTAAAATGCATAAACTATCTTTATGATGCCCCCCCATCGTCAACTAGCAGTGAGAGACTTTATTTTATTTTAATCATTTTTTTCTTTTATCATACAAAAACATAAATCAAGTCAAGATGTGCATTTATAGTAATAACAGCAAACTGGCCCCAACCCTTTAAGCAAGGAGTAGATCTGGCACTGAGCTACATACAAGGTCTGGCATGGCTCTTTGGTCTCAAGAAAGAGAAAAGGAGATATGTGAATAATTGTAAGCTAGTGAGAATTGTTAAATTCACTCCAACTTCTCTCTTGCTCTTTCAGACACATATATGGCATACTTATACTTACCTTGATTGTTCTCCAAATAGCTGAGATCAAGGATGGGTCTTGCTAGCCACTTAAAATATTTGGGACTCAGACTATTGATTATAAATCTGTATACAATATGCAGACACTGCCATAGGACTGTAGTGTGTGGAAATGGATCTAGAATGTGGAGAAACAGATTTGTGGCTGGGAACCTAAGATGATCACCAGCCTAACTTCATCCTGTGAGTGGAGTTTAGTTCATTTGGGAACATACAAGCTATAGACAAAAATATATCCTGATTTCTTAGCAGACTGCTGGATAGTCTGCAGTGAAGTAATAACTTGGCTGCTTGTAATTCAGTAGGGGAAAAAGTTTCCATTTGCTTCATTATGACACATTGGCTACGTTCTTTCATAAATAAATGACACCCCAGGATTCCTCGTGGCGGGGAAGGCCCCTTTGGGTTAGTTCTAACATTCTTCCTTGGTTTAAGAAGTGAAAGAAACAATTAGCTTTATCCCTGGGCTCTTATTTTATGCATAAATGGTATTTCTTTGTCTCCCACTGAGTTAGCCTTCTGGCATTTCAGCTTTGCTGTGAGTCATTTCTTTCTTCTTTTTGTGGCTATAGTGACTCATTACTCACTGCACAGGCAAAGAAAACAAAATAAGTCCATTTCAAGTCTCTTTGCATTCCAAACTGAAGTCAACAGTTGGCATTTTAACTTACTTGGTTATTTTAATTCAATAATTAAAAGTGAATTTATGTCTACCTTTTTCAGGGTTTTCTAGGTAGCGAGTACGCAGAAGTGGCGTACTGTTCCCTTCTTTTGGTGCCCTGGGACTGTGCCGCTTGCCCAAGGCCACACAGGCTGGCTCTTCTAGGATGCACAGTGGGGTATTGAACTCCCAACCTCTGGCCTCACAGCCAGATACCTAACTCAGTTAATTATCCAGCCAGCTCAGTTTTATTTGCAAGACAGATGAAAGCGGCAGGAATAGGCAAAGAGCAGAAATTGAGAAATTAGCTGCGTTGTGTATGTGAAGGTGGAGGAAGTTTGACAGCCTGCATTGTCTATAAAAAGGGGGCTGTGGCTTTCGACTCATTGGTTCTAAAACAGGGGAAGTACCTCAGTGGTAGAATACACAGTTTAGGTGCAGAAAATTTCACATTCTTCAGTGTCTCTAGTGTGCGACCCATTGCTGCTATTTCAGTCTTGGAGCTGGCTGACTGTTGCCTCCTTTATGGTTTTAAACAGTTGGGATCCACACGAATAACTTCTGCCACGTAAAAGGGGAAGTACCTCAGTGGTAGAATACACAGTTTAGGTGCAGAAAATCTCACATTCTTCAGTGTGTGACCCTTTGCTGCTACTTCAGTCTTGGAGCTGGCTGACTGTTGCCTCCTTTATGGTTTTAAACAGTTGGGATCCACACGAATAACTTCTGCCACGTAAAGGAACGAGTGCTCAGGAGATGGGAGAGGGGGAGCTCAGCAGGGAGGTTCAGCTACCTCCATTCCTCTCTGTGAAGAATTGGGCGATGAACAAGTGGAAGCTGAGTGTGGTGATGAGGAACAGCTGTTGCTTTTCTGCATTCATTCCAGCAAGCTAAGAAGGGACCAGGATATGGAGGGGCAACAGGAGGCATTAGAACAGTCAGGAAGCAAGCAAGCAAACAAGGGTGTGGTAGATGGTGAGGCCGCAGTGGATGGGCAGGCCTGGCAGGGCAAGCAAGCAAACAAGGGTGTGGTAGATGTTGAGGCCGCAGTGGGTGGGCAGGCCTAGCAGGCCTGGCAGCAAGGAGCAGCACCAGTACCAGCATCATCACCAGCAGCTACTGCTGGTGACTAACAAACAAATGAGTAATAATAGGTGAAGGGTGTGCAGGGAAGAGTGGCAGCAAGGTGTGGTGACATGGGCTTATGAGGACAGTTCAGGTGCTGTCCTGGAGGCAAGAGCAGTAATTTGCCGCTTTGACATCCTGCTGCCTCAGGCAGCTGCCTCACTGTGCCTAATTGCAGGGCTGGCCCTGCCCAAGTTCAGTTCCCCTCCAGGTAGCACTTGCAGAGAAAGTTTCATACCTGAAACCTTGGAAGCTGCTGAAAAGACAGTTCAGGTGCTGTCCTGGAGGCAAGAGCAGTAATTTGCCGCTTTGACATCCTGCTGCCTCAGGCAGCTGCCTCACTGTGCCTAATTGCAGGGCTGGCCCTGCCCAAATTCAGTTCCCCTCTAGGTAGCACTTGCAGAGAAAGATTCATACCTGAAACCTTGGCAGCTGCTGAAAATCAGGTACAGTTGTGCCTCGCTAGACGATGATTATCCGTTCCACTGAAATTGCTGTTTAGCGAAATCATTGTCTAGTGAAAAGCATTTCCCCATTGGAATGCATTGAAACCTATTTAATGCGTTCCAATGGGGAAGAATCGTCATTGTCTAGCGAAGATCGGCCATAGGAAAGCCGCTTTGCGAACTGCCGATCAGCTGTTTAAATCGCTGTCTTGCAAAGCTTAGGTCCCGAAAACACCTGTTTTACGAGCATGGAGGGAGCTGTCAAGATCGTCGTCTAGCGAAAATCGGTTTGTGAAGCAGGGACCAAACATTGTCCAGCGAAATTCCCCCATAGGAACCACTGTCATTTATATTTAGACAGTGTCGTCTTGTCCATCTGATGCAGAGGATGTGTGTGTGTTTTGAGCAATATGTCTAGCGAGGCACCACTGTACAGCAGTGATTTTCAAACATTTTCTCTGTCCCCAGAACATATAAAAATTACTAGGTTTTTCACAGGTGAATTTATAAACCTCTAGTTGCTCTACAGATCAAAATGTGTCGTCTTGTCCATCTGATGCAGTGGATGTGTGTGTGTGTTTTGAGCAATGTTCTGTGAATTTACTCGTAAAGTTTATTAGCACAGTTGTCAGTCAGCATACTCATACTACAATGTCTCTGTACTGTAGCAAATCAAGTCTCACACAGATATACCCTGATTAAAATGGCTTTGATCTCTATTATCTGTATTATTGTCAAAGAGATAGTAAGTCAGGTGTAAGGCAAAGCACAGAACCAAGTTTGTGTATAATTTTGGGCGTTCTGCAGCCTCTCAGTAAACTGCACAAGTGGACCACAGTTTGAGGCCCTACTATGACTTTTGCTGAATCTGCTCAAATAAAAGAACCATTCAACAAAATAAAGTTTGTCTATTATGATTATCCTGACATCATTCTTGTTAATGAAGAGTATTTATTAAGTTGAAGTAAAGTGTGAAAATTGGTCCTTGGATTTGCAAAACCTTTCCAGTGTGGTCATTGGTGCTCAAAAAGTTGCTTGACTGAATGCGAACCAATAAAGTGTGGTTTTGACAAAAGGAGGATTTTGGATGACTTGTCTAGCATCATTTTATATCACTGAAGATTTACTGTGGTTAAGAATGACACTAGGTATTATATATTACAGGTGGGAAGGGACCAGTATTTTAATCATAAATATAAGCTGACACAGTAACTTTGTGTTTGCCCCCTTAATTCCAGAGTTTTGTCATATGTCTGAAGTGACATCTAAACTTCTCTAAAATGTAGCATAGCTAATGAGAGAAGCAAATTTTCTCAGGACTTACCGTATACAGTATTAGCAGCAAAGGAAGCCATGGCTTTGAGTTTGCAAGAGGAGAGCTGGGCTGTTAGTGATAGGATGCTAAGAGTAGCATTGCTAATTCTCAAGTATTTTGTGATGAGGGCCCCACTCTGTGCCTTCCTGTGCATTTGTGGAAACTTCACAACCAAGCTAAACATATGTAGTCTTGCTTCTAAGGTACATGATTGTAAAAAATGCCATTGGTCTGAAGATATTTTTTTATTTCTGCAGACTATCTATTTGGACAATGACGTTTCTTCGTTTGTTCAAATTAGAGGTTCTGTTCCATTGTTCTGGGAGCAACTTGGACATCAGGTAAATAGTATAAATCATTAACAAGTCTAATGGCCTGTTTAGTGTTTCTACACAGTTGGTATTTCAGCACTTGAAACCTTGGTGATTGATGATCCTGAACAATTGTTTTGTTCTCATTTAATGGCTGTGATGTCATCCTTCTCATAAAAGCAGGGATCACACTGTTACCGCCCCAAAGTACCACAGAGCTCTGTTACTATAGCTAAAAATGAGCTCTGAACTGCATTCAAAGGAAAACCTGAAATGGAATTAAAAAAAGGCATCAGTCTGTATAACAGCTCTGAAAAATCCTGTGTTCCAGGCTTTAACTACCTTTTTAAAAAGTATTAAATAATCAAATGGTTCTCTTTTTTTTGTATAGCTAGAATACCTTGGAATACTTCTTATATTAGTGCTGTTATTTGGAAGTATAAAACCTGGATAGCTAAAAACAGCAGTAACTGATGAACTTACTTGAGCTGTTTATTCTTTTTATCTCAGTAGTTTAGGCATGGTTCATGTCTTAGGGTTGCAGTTATATCTGTGTAGGTGCTGAGGTGGTAAACTGTCATGCTTAAATGGACTCTTGAGTCTGTGATAGGTAATCCAGGAATTTAAAAAAATGGAATACAGTGGTGTTTCCTACAGCAAATGCATTAGGTAACTACAACTTCACAAGTGACATTTTTAATTGTGAAAGATCTTGTTGACAGTTGGAGAACCACTGGGTCCCCAGATATACTTGGACTAAAACTGCCAGAAACCTTCACCACTAGCTGTGCTGGACAGGATTTCTGGGATTTGCAGTCTATTTGGAGACTTGAAGTTGAAAACCAGTGTAATAGAGAGATGTTTTCTTTGAATAAAACAGGAACCATATATTGATTCAAATTGAAAGAATTGACTTTTTTTTTTCCATTATTGAACACTTAGGTTGGGTCCCGGCATCTGAAACTTACTAGAGGCCTAGAAGCAAATGCCCCTGCTTTTGACAGGTATGTTTAATTACGGTAATCCTAATAGGAAAAAGATCTAATATCACTCTGATTCTAGGATAGCCCAGGACACAAATATGGTGCCACATTCTTCAAATCCTTAATATGGTGCCACATTCTTCAAATCCTTCCTCAAAATTCACCTTTTATGTACATTTTTATCAGCTTCCTTTTATCAGTCAGAATATTACCCTTAACCATGATTATATATGGTCTGGTCTGTGGGATCACCTGTCTGCCTTCCAGACCCTTTCTAATTGCACATGAATTCTCTGACATTATTTCTTGCATCTGTCTTTGAAGCAGGAAAAATGGTAGCAAAGAGTGTGTGTGCGCGTGTGTGCATGTGCTCACGCACATGCATGCAGGTGCATGCACACATGCTTCCATGTTTACTGTTGAAATAAGTTGTCTCTGTTGTGGCTGTTGCATGTGAAGACTGCAGTGTTAAGAGGTGTACAGATTTATGTTTTTGGACTAAAACCCCCTAGACTTACAGCTGTTTAGAGAATTCTGGGAGTTGCACTCAAAACTACAGTTCTGCATGTCTCTGTTTAACAGGTTTATCAATATGATAATTGTTTATCTAAGATGCAATAAGAAAAAACACCTCAAAATAGCCCTGCCTTTCCAAGTCTTTTCTTTCACAAGGTTTCTACATACTCATCTGCACAGGCCCTTAGTTTAATTTAGAACACTATTCTTTTCTTGAATTTCTTGTTGCATAATAGTCATGTGAGTTGATGTTAGATGAGTGATCTAAGTGGTGAATTAGTGAATTGTGAATTAGTGGCAGTTGGCCACAATTTATGTCATTGCATTAAAGCAGACATGATAACTATGGGATTCTAGCTACTGTTTTTCTAATTGCTCAGCTTCTCAGGAATTGGTAAAGCTCTGTAAATTCCACAAGTGGTGTGCAAGAGGTGATGTTTGGCTGATGAGATAGAAGATAATCCTGCTGGTAGAACAATTTAGTAAGCTGATCTTTTTTTAAAAGTTCTGTCGTTTATGTGGTAAACTAATCTCTCATCTTATTACATGGACTTTAAGAAGTGTTGCATTTGTATTTACTATGTATTAAGCCAAAACAACATTTTGCTGCTTTTGCAGGCATATGATGCTTCTGAAAGAACAATATGGTAAACAAGTGATTGTTAATCTTTTAGGAAGCAAAGGAGGAGAGGAGGTCCTCAACAGAGCTTTCAAGGTAAAAATAACACTGGGCTATGCTTAATGTCTTGCTGGTCCTGTAAAAAAAATGTATTCCTGTGAGGCTAATTCTTGTTGTTAGCATTATAATAACAGTTCCTTTAATTGGGACCTGAGAGATCTGGCAACATTTCTATGAATAAATATTGACTGTTCTGCTGAATGTGTGGCCCACTCTTTTCAGATCTCCATAATCACTATTATATCTTTCATAGTAAATGCCAATATGAGTTAATTTATTTGAGCATGATGGACATTCCCCAAGGAAGACATTATTTTATTGAAAGCAGGGCATATCAGATTGTACCCTGGGTATTTTAGATAAATTTTTAAATGTGCTTTGAAATTTCCAGCATAGTTATCACACAATGAAGAAATGTACTAGGTTTATGCCTGCTAAGAGACCATAAGGTTCTGCAGAAGCTCAACTATGTTGATGGAGATCTTCATAGCACCTCCATTTTCTGCTTTTTCAGATTTCCTGGATTCTGAGGGAACTTCTGCTTTTATATTGGGGAAAGGGGCTAGGAAATATTCAGTTGGAGATGGGGAGGTGCTGAAGGAAAATGGGGAAGGGTACTAGTGCATGAAGGGCCCAAAGAGCTGTTTGACTGTTAGTCTTCCTGACTGCCTTAGGTGTTCCTGGGTAAGATGGTGCATCTCCTCCCTTCCTCTTATGTGGGATTATAGGATTAATTTTTACAGTGGACCTTCATCATTCTAGAGGAATGCTACATTAATAGGAATGTTTGGTTCAGTTGAACCAGAGCACCTTATATCGCTGTGCTCCTCATCTTTATAATTGATTTTTGGGGAGAGCAGAATACAAATGCCTTATATTGTGTCACATTCCTGCCTTCTGGTACAGAAAAACCTCTGTGATGTGTACAGTGTGGTGTTGAGACCCAGGAGCCCTAGATGTGGGGATGTTATAGCATTTCCTTGTGTGATGTATGAGTAGTAATGCAGGGGTGTCTACTGATAACATGTTCCAGTTGTGAATTCATGGACTCTCCATGTGGGGGCAAGAGGCCATCCCTCCCATTAGGCTGGTTGAGGTTCCTGCCTCAAGACGCAGACCGCAAGAAGTGGTGAATGCCCTTCTCCTTCTGGGACACTCCTTTGTCACTCTGGAGAGACAGGGTGTTCAGAAAGAGCTACCAAGTTACCTCCATTTTCACCTTCTGAGGGAGAGGACAGGCAGTTGTGGCAATGAGGAGCAATGTCATTCATGGGTGGTGTCAGTGGAGGGCAATGGCTATTCTCCTCCCACCTCAAGTGGTGGTAGAATTCAGGCTGTCCAGTGGTGGGTGGACACTGACCCCAACAAAGCACCAATAGGTTCACATTGGCAGTATTTTCAGGCATACTGAAAATGGGCTGGCCATGTTTGCATTTCTAGTTATATTCTTTAGGTTCTTCTTCCCAGGCTGTTGTTTTGCTGGCACAGCAATAGCTGTCTCTGGTGTAATGTTAAGTGTAGGATTGTTCTGTCAGCATATTTCCTACTTTCTTTTCTGTCTTTCAGTAGTATCTTTAAATTCAGATAGAGATGTTCATTTGTAATTTGCCTGGGATATCAACAGTTAACACAGCTGGGTACAAACACTGAAGAATGATTCATGCTGAAATAGTGGCGGTTTAGTCTGATGTCCTTCGCAAGCACACTACCAAATGCAGCTGTCTGCAAATAGATACTGAAGAGCAGGCTGTTACCAAAGAAACAGATCTGACAGCTGTAACAAACGGACTCTCTGCTAGTTCTAAACAACCCTACATACTGCAGGCCGTGCGGAAAGCATTTGTGCTTCTGAACCTGTTTTTGAACGTATCTAGTTGAACTTTAAAAAATGGGCAATAATAATGATTCCTGAGGGTGAAGCAGAGGACTAATGATTGTGTGCCATCAAGTTGATTTTGACTTACAGTAACCCTTGTTAGAATTTCTTTGGTATAAAGCACTGGCAAATAGTTTACAAATCCCTTCTTCTGGGCATGCTTGAGGACTGTGCAGCTTGCCTAAGGCTAAACAGGCTGACTGTTCTCCTGGGAGGCATGTGGGGAATTGAGCTCATGATCCCTGGCTCCACAGCTCAAAGGTTAAGAACCACTGGTATAAAGCACTGACAAATAGTTTACAAATCCCTTCTTCTGGGCATGCTTGAGGACTGTGCAGCTTGCCTAAGGCTTTCCTGGGAGGCATGTGGGGAACTGAGCTCATGATCCCTGGCTCCACAGCCAAGTACCCCAATCCACTGAGCTATCCTGCCAAAAAAAGGGGGCAGTGCATTTTAAAATATTCAGTGGATCTACTTCTGACCAATTTCACAAGTCATTCTATGCAGCTGTATATAATTCATCAGCAGTTCAATATATTTTATTGCAAATATATCTTACAGATGAAAATAAGCTATGCAGCTCTATATAATTCATCAGCAGTTCAATATATTTTATTGCAAATATATCTACAGATGAAAGAAGCAGTAGAAGAACTTTTTATTCTTTTTCCCTTTTTAACTTTTTGCTATTAGAAGTTGCTGTGGGCATCATCCCATGCAGCAGACACACCGATGATTAATTTTGATTACCGACAGTTTGCAAAAGGTGGGAAAATGGAGAAGCTCGAGAATTTGTTGGGGCCTCAACTGAAGTTGCACTGGGAAGAATTAGGCATCTTCACAAAAGGCGAGAACATAAGTTCTTGGTGAGTGTCTTGGGTCCTTGACCCACCAGATCTTTCTGCATTTTCTGTCAAGTTTCTCATGGTCAGACTCTATGGCTATGGGTAAGGGTTGTGCACTCTGGTTTGCAAATTACTTAATGGTAGCAATTTGAACTTGTCAGATCAGATAGTCTGATGCCTGAATGCCTCCATAAGAGCCTTATAGACCTTTAGGAAGAATCAGAAGCCTGTGTTCATCACAGCTGGCATTTGTCCCTGAAAAGGGTTGATTCCAGAATGAAACCAGATAACTATTTTCAATCATATCAAAATTCACTTGGGTATCAAAGTAAAATATATAGTTTCCTTGTTGCAATGATTCTTGGCAGCATCAGCTTGTCCATTTCTACAAGCTTTATTCATATATATTGCTTCTATGTTCCATATGTGTAAAATATTTCAGAATTGTTGAAAACATGTAACCAGAAGTTACAGGCATGTTTCAGTTAGACAGAAATCAGTCTTACAGCTATGAAAAACTATAAGTACAGATGCTGAAAAATGTATGAAAACTAAATTTAAGTTGCAGGCAAATACTTAAGTGACATTCTAATCCAGAACACAGATACATAAAAAGTATAGTAAAAATATCAAAAAGCATTTTAATTACATTCTAAAAATGCAGAGGCTTTTAGCCTAAGAAGACACATTGAAAAAGCAGATACAGTAATACATCATTAAAAAGTAAAAAGCATTGTAATTTAAAGTAATCTTTAGCATTTAAGTATATTACTGGACGGACATAAAAAGAATTCTTAGTGCTCACTCAATTAAGATTGTTTGAATCAATGGAGGAAAATTCATGTCCTTGTCTGTTACAAGGTGTTGTTGTGAGCTGTGCTGCTACATATTGCTACTCTTTGATGTCTGGTGCCCAGTATTAGTGTTGTTGGTATCTGGTATGTGTGGTATGGCGTCGTCTTCTTGTGCATGTGTACTGTATCTCTTTGCCTCCCTCTATTTCTATTTCTTCAAATTGTTTACATTTCCCTTCAGATGTAAACAACAGAATTTTGCTGGTATAGTAAATTACTGATCTCTACAAATGATCAGAATTTTTTTCAATGGAAATCTCTCTTATTTTATTTTTATTCAATTTCTATACTGCCCATCTGGCTACAAGGCCACTCTGGGCAGTTCACAGCATGATAAAACCAATAAATAACACTTTTTAATGAATTCATAACATAATAGTACAAAAATCAATTTAAACATATCACTCAACTTAAACTAAAACTAATAAAAAGATAGCATAAAAATAATAAGACAAAATGGTGGGGTGACAAAATATAACTCTTGTAACTTATCCTTTGTTTTGACTATTCCCCACACTTATGGGAATAGTAAGTTACTTACGTACCATTTTACCAGCTAGGCAAAATGCCATGTGCATAAAGTGCTGGTGGACTAAGTTGGTCAGGTACTAATTTGCTTTGTCTGCCACTTTAGGATGCTTATAATTTGTGTACATGTCCAGCTATCAGCTATTGTATATTGACCTTTCTCCCAGACTTGATTGGAGAGCTTGCTAATTGTCCTGTAGTAACTTTTAATAAACTGTTGTTCAAACCTCATTTGTAAAGCCCAGTGTATGTTTTCAAGGTTGCAACAGTCTATGCATACAAAATGTCAAACTTTAACAAACTGACATGATTTCACTTCTGCTTCTGGGACTCTTCAGAGTGATGCAGTGGAACTGGAAGACCTTGACTAGAGTGTCTCCTTTGGTGAGCTTAGATAGCTGCTCTCTCTCACTCTCGGTTGCTATTTGTAAAAGAAGTAAAATTATGAGGGGTGAAACAATTACAGGCAACTGATTGTTCCGAGCTGTTGGTGATCCTAGTTGTGTAAACCCAACCAAGTGCAGCAAGTTGGTTCAGTGAATCCCATGTGGAAAGCCACTTTTTTTGCTGGCGCAAAGGATTCCTATCCCTGCCTTCTATGTACTTCTGATTTTTACTCGTCTTGGCAGAAAAAAATTGATTGTTTGTGAAGTGCTAAATTTTCAATGCTAACGTTGTTTAGTGATTTACTAAATCTTTAGGAAAATAGCCAGTGTTAAATCTTTTAGTTCTTTGACTTGGTTTTTGAAGTCAACAGATGGGTATCTTGCGAACGAATTGCCTGGATTGTCTTCATCGAACTAACACCGTACAGTCCTTCATAGCACTTGAGGTGAGTCAATCCATCAGACATCTTTTGTCAAGAGTGGGTGACATCTACTTCTTGTGTCCTCCAGAGTTCCGTCACCATCAATGGTCCACCCGAAACAAGAACAATCACACTCCTAGGTACTTCCAAGAGTCACAATTCTCCTCTAAACAAAGGCTGGGACCTTAATAAGTGAAAGGACACTGCTTCCCTATTTCTTCCACAGTAAAGTATAATTTTTGGTCACTTCTGCACACCAAAACACATTTTCAGTGGGGATGTAGCAGAATTGCCCTTCAGTCACCCAGAGTTGCCTCTCTTATCTGAATGCTTTTCTCCCCCACCATGCACACATTTTAATTATAAAGATTATTACAAATGTATTTTTTTCTGAAAAAGGTTAATTAAGGATATTAACAAACATTGGGTATGATGCAGGAGGGGAACTTCTCTAGTTCTTTCATTCTTTGTTCTTTTTCTAATTCAGGTTCTGCTTACTCAACTAGAGAGCCTCGGATTAAACTCCAAGCCTATAATTGAACGCTTTCTAGAATCATATAAGGCAATGTGGGCCCTCAATGGACACAACCTGCGTAGGATTTTTACAGGCAGACGTGCCTTGGAAGGAAAAGCTAAGGTACAAGAGAAAGAAAGTAAGGCCCATGTGTTTTTTTGAAGTTATTACTATGAGTTAAAGTTACATTATCATTTTAATTTTTATTACACAGGTGGGGAAACTTAAGGATGGTGCTCGTTCAGTATCACATACTTTTCAGCCAAACTTCTTTGATGGGGTGAAACAAGAAGCCATTGACTTACTGCTCATGGGCGATCACTGCAGTGACGACTATGCAGATAAAGAACGAATGCTAATGGACCATACCGCGCTGCTGAGTAAGCAAGAGGCTGATCTCCGTTGAAATTTTGGTAACAGTGTGCAGCTAACTAGTGGCTAGAATATTTTCTAAAATATCAGGTATTAAACAGTCACCTGGAAGAGTTAAATATTTTGGATGAAATATGGACTATTTATGTAAGTTAAACGTTTTAACTCCACTGTTAAATTTCAGAGAATTTCTGTTTTGTCACACACGTAGCAATATAGGAGGCTTGAAAAAAGGAAAAGGTGCTAAAATTACAAAAGTCCAGTTGCATGTTTTTACACCCCAAGCTCTGTGTCAGCCAGACAGCCATCAATACTGCTTCTCCTGTCCTTCTTCAGTTATAAGGGAACATAGACCAGTTGATTTGCAGATTGCCTTATAGTCTGAAACATTGCTTGTTTCAGTCCTGGGAGACATGGCTCTCTTATGGTCAGCAAAACAATTACTGTATGAGGAGCTAATTTTGGTATCTAGTAGTTTTGATACCCAGTGTGGTGTAGTGGATAGAGTGGTGGGCTAGGGCTCCAAAAACCAAGGTTTGAGTCTCTGCTCAGCCCTGGAAACTCACGGGGGGGAGTGGAACTGGGGAAACCACTCCTTAAATATCCCACTTACCTTGAAAGCCCTGTTAGGGTCAGTGTAAGTCAGTTCCAACTTGACAGCGCATAACAACAGCAACAATTTTGATATCAGTTCTAGTGATTTGTGTAATCTATTTTATTTCATGGTACAAAATTCCCCCTCCCTTTTGCCCCTTTCTTTCCATCAGTGACTCCAAGCATTCTGAAAGCTATGTCAGATCGTCAATTTGAATTCACTAAATTCAAGAGAGTCCGTGTTGCCATGGGGACCTGGAATGTAAATGGAGGCAAACAGTTTAAGAGCAATATCCTTGGTACCAGTGAATTAACAGACTGGCTACTGGATTCTCCTAAGCTCTCTGGGGTGTCAGAATTTCAAGGTAACAAAGAGCACTCGCTATGTCTAGAACAATGACAGCTTTCACATGTATACATTCTGCCTCTTTTCTTGCCATTCCTTTCTCTTCTACACCTACACACACATATATATGTGTTCCTACGAGCATTCCCTTTGGGCTCATTGACTCCCTTGTGGAGTATCGCCATTATTGTGACACTTTAATTCTACCTGGAAACTTCACATTCTATTTGCAGAAAATCAAAGACAATTTAGTTAATAGGAAAGTCTTAAAATGTTTCTCTGCCTCTCCCTCTCAATTATATCAATTCCCCATTTGTTACTGCTCTTCTGAACCTTCCAGAAAGCTGAAATTCAGTGCACAAATAAAGCAAGATGCCCCAATTAATTTTAAAAAAGTCTGAAAGCAGTGTTTCAAAATCTGTCAATCAGAACTTCAGACATGACATAGAGGGAAACTGTCCAACATGGGGCAACCAGGATATAAAGTGAACAAAACTCTGGTGTGCAGAATATCTTTCCCTTTCTCTGTGCTCGAATCATGCCTGTATAGTGGAGAGGGGCAGCTTTCAGTGGAAACTCATGATCAGTATCCATGCCTACAGAATATTAGCATCTCTCTCTCTCTCTCAAATGACATGAACGGACAGAGTATTGAATGAATTTGTGTTGGTTTCTTTCTCCTGTTACACAGATGACCATTGCCCTGCTGACATATTTGCTGTCGGATTTGAAGAGATGGTGGAGTTAAATGCTGGGAATATTGTGAATGCTAGGTAGGCTGAAACTGTACGGTTGAAATTCAAACTTTGTACTGGTATGGTTGCAAATATTTTGTGTACTTCAGGTGGAGATAACCATCATAGTCCATGCTGTGATAATTCCATTTTCTGCATTTTACAGTGTACTGCCTTTGAAAATGGTACGGAAATACAGTTGGTCTGAAACATGGGTCAGACTGGAAATCTTGATCCTATTTATAACTGCATTAGCAGCAGTAGTTTTCTATTTTTCTCATGGCCCAATTTGAAGTGTTGTTTTTAATCTTAATTTTTAGAACCTTAACAATTTTGGACCCCATATATTTGAAAGAGGGCCTTCCATATATCTACACAAACCATGAGATGGTTTTTAGGGACTCTGTTGTAGGAAAAGTGAGATGTGTGACTAGTTGTGGCAGACCATTCTCAATGGTGCAAAATGATGGTGGCATGTCCTTCCCAGAGAGGCCTCTAGGAAGCTAATACCCTGGGAGAGAGAAACAAATTTCAGAAAGATCTTGATAGGCCTAGGGAATGAGATGAAAACAAAAGAATGAAATTTAACACTGCTAAGTTCTACACGTGGGGGGGGGGAACCAAACACACAAGATGAGATATACTTGGATTAATAATGCTTCAAGCAAGAAGGGTCTTGGAATTGCTGTAGATCACAAGCTGAGTATGAGCCAACAATGTGATATGGCTGCAAAAATGGCAAATGTTATTCTAGGCTGCATTGTATTCTCCATATCCTGTGAACTACTAGTTCCCCTTTGTTAAGCACTGTTTAGGTCTCACCTACAGTATGCTGTCCAATTCTGGACATCCACAGTTTAAGGGGGATGCCAACAAACTGAAACAAGTTCAGAGAAGGGCAACAAGGATGACCAGGGGACTTGAAACCAAGCCCTATGAGGAAAGACTGAAAGAACTGGGAATGTTTAACCTTGCAGAAGAAGACTGAGGGGAGATATGATAGCACTACTCAAAAATTTGAAAAATTGTCATAGAGAGGAAAGGCAGGATCTGTTTTTGATCATCCCAGAGTGCAGCATACATAATAATAGGCTTGAGTTACAGAAAGCCAGATTTCAGTCAACTGTTAGAGCAGTACAGCAATGGAACCAGTTACCTCAGGAGATGTTGGGTGCTCCAGTGCTGGATGCATTTAAGAGAAAATTAGACAACCAACTAGCAGATATCCTTTGATTTGGATTCCTAGATTGAACAGGAGGTTGGACTTGATGGTCTTATAGGCCCCTTCCAACTCCATTATTCTATGAGTCTATGAAAATTTTATGCTGTAAATCACTGGTTCTTAACCTTGGGTTACTCAGGAGTTTTGGACTGCAACTCCCAGAAGCCTTCACCACCAACTGTGCTGGCTGGGGTTTCTGGGAGTTGCAGTTCAAAAACATCCGAGTAACAAAGGTTAAGAACCACTGCTGTAAATATCCAAAAAACAAACTTAATGGGTAGCTTTATATAAATATAAATGACAAAAACATCCATGTGCATCACCTGTTGACCTCAGTGATAGCATTAAACATTAATGTTTGAAGTTCCATTAGTTAATAATATCTGATACCTAATGAGAATTTTATCACGATACCAACTCAAACACTTTCCTTTCAAAGCGGGAAGTTCATACATTTAGCTGCAAGTCATCCTTCGTTCATATGTGAGCCAACATTTAAATAATGTATATTAAATGCCTGGCAGAGAGACAGAGAGTTAAAAATACCAACTTCCTTGATTCTCTATAACTTAAACTATCATTGTCTGTCTGACTGGATGAGGGAACTGGGAAAGTTCTTAGAGTGGACTTCATCTTATGCTATGGCCTTTGCTGAGTGAATCCGGTGCATAAATGCCATATTCATATCTGCTTACACAATGGCTGAAAGCCTGTTGACAAAGCTGCACCACACAGCCAGGAAGGTGTCATCAGCTGTGGTCTTGCTGTGGCTGTCCTAGAGCCCTACCTCAGAGTTTATCGTCGGCTTCCTTGGCTGAAGGTATTGGGCTACAGATGCCCATCCTGGAGGGGAACTTAAAGAGACTGTTTTGGAAGAGCAGAGGCAGAAAAGACAAGAAAAGAGTGAACCACCAGAGACCGTCATTTGGGTCGGAAAGGGAGAGAGGTTTTGAAAGGAAAGGAGAAAGGGGAGAGTTAGAAACTGAGGAAGAAGCATATTGGGTGAAGAAGGAGTGGAAGAGAAAGAATGATAGAAAGCCATCTTATTGTGGTGAGATGCAAGAAAGAAAAGTACAGCAGCTTCATCTAATGGTTTGGCATGCCAAAATAAGAGCATTTAAGAAGCTACTGCCGATTAAAACCCCTAACTATACTATACAATGCATGGAAAATGAAGAGAAAAACTATGTGGGAAAACAACTCCTGCATTATGTTTCTTCACATCTGAACAATCTTTTAATCAAGAATTCTAGCATGTGTTACCCATGAGGAACCTTCTAACAAGCTGCCCGAAGTACACACAACACTTTGAACCTCTACCCCATTTCCAAGGCAAATAACACTGGCACTGGCTGTGAGGATGATGGTACCGTAAAGGGTACACCTCAGAGTGTACCATCCACTTCCTCGGCTGAAGATATTGAGGGACAGATGCCCACCCTGGAGGAGAACTCAAACGGGATGTTTTGGAAGAGCAGAGGCAGAAAAGACAAGAAAAGAGTGAACCACCAGAGACCGTCATTTGGGTCGGAAAGGGAGAGAGGTTTTGAAAGGAAAGGAGAAAGGGGAGAGTTAGAAACTGAGGAAGAAGCATATTGGGTGAAGAAGGAGTGGAAGAGAAAGAATGATAGAAAGCCATCTTATTGTGGTGAGATGCAAGAAAGAGAACAAAGGAGAAAGCTAAGAGAGTGGCAGCAACGTGAAGCACAAAGAAGGGAGAACAAACCATGGCCAGACCATCCAGGGAAACGCTAGGGATCCCTGGAACTGGAATGGATACAGCATGTTGATGGCTGATGACATAATCCTCGGTGTGCATCATCCTCAATGTGAAATGTGTATAAAGTTGTGCAACAGGATTTCAGCCACCGTGTTCCAGAGCTTGGATAAGTTTTTTTCCCCCTGCTGCAATTACAAATTGCATGGCATGGCCCCCAAAAGTTTCCAAGTTCTGGTGTGGTATAATTTTAACCTAGTGAAAATATTTTTCACTTAAGTGCTGGGGTTGCTTCGGAGGCTTTAAACATATTGTTTGTTAGATCTTATGTAAACAACATTGTTGTGTGTTGAATTGTGTGACCCTGCATGCAATAGATAAGGCCAATGGCAGTTTCTTGACTTACAGCAATTCATATCTAAAAATTACGCAGTTTACATAACCGCACAGCAGGATTTCATCCATTATCATCTGATGGGAAAAATGGTTAAGTAATAGCTATTTACTTGTTTCAGCACAACTAACAAGAAGATGTGGGGAGAACAGCTTCAGAAAGCTCTTTCCAGGACTCATCGTTACATTCTCTTGACTTCAGCACAGCTTGTTGGTGTTTGCCTTTTCATATTTGTACGACCATACCATGTCCCTTTCATCAGGTAAGTCCTAATTCTTGTGTTTACAAATGATGCTATTGTAGTGGACTGGGAAAAGTTTAATTTTTCTTTGTTTTCACAACTAGAAAGCAAGGGGTAATAATTATTGAGGAGGAACTGGCAAACCAAGTATTTAAAAAAAAACTTTGGACTAAATAAGCTAGAATTTTAAACCATTTTTTCTTAATCAGAAATATCATAGTTCCGAGTATGTTCTTCAGAATCAATTCTGAATATATATTTAGCACTGATAAGAATGCCTTACATAATTTTTACTAGTAGTTTCTTTACTCTCATAGGTCTAGTTCATACATGTGCATGTATGTTACATATATGACGGGGTGAGGAAGCAGATTTTGGTTCAGTTTCTCCTGATGAATCCATAGGTTTTCATTTGAATTAAGGCCTGGGAATATCGGTCTTGCTCATGAGATTCATCTCCATTACATTTGATTACATGACTGTGATCAAAACCCATGCCCCACATACAGATTTGTTTTCAGAGAGATATTTATATTAGTGTTTTTCAGCAAAACCAAAAGTATTGTGGCACTTTTAGGACTAACACATTTATTTCAGTATAAGTTTTCATGGAATTCTGAAGAAATGGTTTGTAATCCATAAAAACTCATGCTGAAGTAAATTTGATACATGTAAAAGTGCCACAACACACTTTTTTATTTTTGCTCCCGGAGTAGACACAACTGGGCTATGTGGCACTTAGGCCCCATCTAGCACTGTGGCACTGCCAGCAATATTGGAGAAACTCAGGAAATCAACAGCATGCCTCATCCGGTCCTTACGGAGCAGATTGTAGGGTGGGGAATGACCACTTCAATGACTGCACAGTTCAGACTTGCAGTCAGTAGAGTTATGCTGGAGAAATGAGGTGACCAGCAGCTTCCTTCAGTTCCCAGATCCTGTTGTGGAGTCACAGGAAGCTTCCATCCATTGCATCAGTTTCCTTCTGCAAACAGAAAAAGCCTGTCCAGTCATAGATGGTCACCTTTGAACCCAAGGCATTGTTCTAAATAAGGCAGTGTACTTATTTTTCAACTTCCTATTAGACATTTATTTTCAGCTTTAGGTGTTTTTCCCCCCCTTCTGCCCAGAGATGTAGCAGTGGACACAGTGAAGACCGGAATGGGAGGGAAAGCTGGGAACAAAGGAGCAGTTGCCATTCGTTTCCAGTTTCATAGCACCAGCTTGTGCTTTATATGCAGTCACTTGACAGCTGGTCAATCTCAGGTGAAAGAACGGAATGAGGACTATAAAGAGATCACTCAGAAGCTAAGTTTCCCAATGGTAAGAGCTATGAAATGTTTTATTTAGGGCTATGCTGAATTCTCTCTCTCTCTCACACACAAAGAACTCCCTTTTACCTTGAGTACTGGTCATAGGCATAAAGTTTCAGCTTGTCCTTTCCCTTTTTATCCTCTTCATACATTCTGTGCTACCTGTTCAAAGGTACTGATGTTTTATGTATTCTCGAAGGCTTTCATGGCCGGGTTCTGATGGTTGTTGTGGGTTTTTTGGGCTCTTTGGCCGTGTTCTGGAGGTTGTTCTTCCTAACGTTTCACCAGTCTCTGTGGCCGGCATCTTCAGAGGAAACAGGAGTAGGAACTCTGTCCATGCTCTGATTGTTTTAAACATCAACTTCAATTTACTTGGTTATGTGTAAGAAAACTGTAATTAATTGCACACTATTGTACAATGCCTTTTAAAAAGTTAATTCACTGCTTCCCAGTTCAGAGTATGAAACTGAGAGATGCAATAGGAAGAGTTGGGGGATTTATGAACAGACGAATCCAAAGCAATATATGAAAAACATACTGTTGAGCAAGATGTGTATAACATACTTGAGATTGCGTGGAGGGAAATATTACTGCATAAAAGGGAAATGCTAGTAGTGGACTTTAAAATCAATAGCTGAAATCCTGTTACATAGTTAGAAGTGAATTGAAGTGAATTGCCTCAAGTTAAGAAATCTCCATAGACATTATATGTTGCACACTGAACTGCATAGCTCAATATGCAATGAATAATGTCTGTAGCGTTTTCTTAACTTGAGACAATTCATCCTCCAAAATTATGGAAGTAGAATTTGGAACCTTTTTATTTTATTATTATTATTATTATTGGACTATAACTCAAAATATTTCAGCTAGCTCAGATTCTGGAGTTGTAGTCCCAACAAAGTAATATTTCCAAGCACTGGTTCTAAGGCTCAAACAAGTGCAAATGACAGGAGACACTTTTCTTTCTTGTGCTGTTCACCACTTGTTTGCACCACCTCCTTTCCCATTATGCAACTTCTGCCTCCTTTTTTATTCCACCTCTCATCAAAAACCTACTTGCTGAAGTATTTTCAATCCATTTTGGGTCATACAGGGAATGTGACGATGTCACAAGGACAAATCTTTATGGCAGTAAAAAGCAGTGTCCTCAAAGACTCATGGAATAAATGTCAAGAAACCTAACTTGTTTCAGCTTTCTATGTTCATTCCATGTGAATAAATATTTTAATCCTCCTTCCCAAATCTTGCTCAAAGGAAATGATTTGTGTGGGGCATCATTCTTTAGGAAAAACACATCACTTTCTATTCAACTCTTTATCTTTCTCACCAATGAGTAACCTTGCACATAAAGCCCTTGAGCTCATCTACATACGGTGGTGGTTCTTGTTGTGAGCTGTGAATTCACTTCCAACTTATGATGACCTTTTGAACCAACGATCTCCAAAGGGTCTCCGAAGTTCAAAATGGATTCCTATGGAGCTGGGCAGGGCAGGGCAGGACACAGTTTTATAGCTCCACTGATAATGTGGATAGCTCTAAATGTCTTAGGAAACGAGTCTTTAAAGGAATGCCTCTCCCTAGATGAACTTGAGCAATCACTAAGGTCTTCCTTGTCCCAAGGCTGAGAATTGTTTATTATGTGGAGACACAGAGAGAGCTTTCTCAGCTAGAGCAACCAACTGACACTGGTGCTGGCCAAGTCAGTTTCCATACCAAGTCAGAACATGCTTATTTATTAGAGCTTTTCAGAATTGAGGATCTTGGCCTATACAGGTTATAATGTTTTAGTGTTAGGCTTTAATTTTAAAATTTTGAAGATTTTGTGTGTTTAAATTGTTCTTTACAGCTTTGTAACCCACCCTGAGATCTTCTGATAGGGGGTGGGTTGTAAATGTTTAAAGAAAAAGAAAAAGAAAGAAAATAAATAGTTCTTTGATTCCTGTAGTGCTTTTTCTCATCAAGACCTTTTTATATACATGGTAAATGGAGGAAACCAAGAAACAATTTAAGAAATATATTCATTTATCCTGCTGTGTGGGCAGATTTGCATTTAAGGGAAAGTAATAGTCTACTTCCTGTTGTTTCCTGAGTTCAGGGCATATGACACATTCATTTATTTTAGTGAGCTTAGAATGTAGAAATCTGAAGGCTGCTGATTTTGAAGACAGATATATTAGATGTCTGTAAAGCAATTCTTATGTTCCCTTTTACCAACAAGTAGTAATTAACTGACTTTTGTCCTAGACATTGGTGAATTCTTGTCTCTTTGTATTATATACCTAATAGTGCCCTCTAGTGATGCAAAAGAGATGGTTTGACTTTATCCTTTGGTCTATTCAGAAATATAGCATCTGCATATATTAATTAGCTCTGTTTATATTCTTACTATTTTTTTACAACAAAAATATTTAAATTAGACTTGGAACAGTTATAACAGGCTATAAAAATACTTTCTGAGTGGAAAAATATTTATTACAGTTGGTCTTAATTTGTATCAGCTTGGTTCACATGTAACACTAAACCATGACTTAACATTATACGTGGCAGCTTCCATAAGCCTGAACAAAGCATCACATTTAAGCATGCCCACTCCCATCTTGCATCGACCAGGATGAGGAATAAACCCTAATTAAGTTTCAGATAAATCAAAAAACATGTTTCAAAATAAACTCTAGGCAATTGCTAAAACAAAATAACTTCCAAGACAATGTATGAATCTGGACTGTTTAACAAAATCAGAAGAATTTATTTTAAACCATGATTCTTGCAGCTGGGAAAAGTGAAGCTGAATTATAGCTTATTCCAACTTCCAGGAGCACAGATGAAAGGAGAGTAGCTGTGCCTTCAGACTTTTCTCAAGTTCACAGAAGCTCATGCTCATAAAGCTTAAGTCGTGGCTTAGTGCTCTTTGCATACCAGGCCAACATGAGGCAACAATTTTAAGGAGAATATTTTAATCATATATAATTCAGAGCTTCTACTTTTATAGAAGTGCAATTTTCCATAAAGGATATATATGTTTAAAATATGAACTATCTGAGGTAACCAGCATTATGTTAGATAATCAGATAATTTAACTTGTATTGCTGGAGTGTTAGGTGGTGGCCTGCATGGATACTGGGCCTCCAAGTTCAAGGTAAAAGTCTGTATCAACAAATGTTATCAGTAATTACATATTTGTATCAGGGAGTCATTATGTTTGTTCACCTGATGAAAATGTTTCTAACAGCCTAAAATGCCCTTGTTTAATATATGGTTGAAAATCCTGTCTCTCCTAACAGGGAAGAAATATGTTTTCACATGACTATGTGTTCTGGTGTGGTGACTTTAACTATCGCATTGACTTGACCTATGAGGAAGTATTTTATTTTCTCAAACGACAAGACTGGAGGACACTCCTGGAATTTGATCAATTGCAGCAGCAGAAATCCAATGGAAAAGTAAGGATAGAGGGTTGCTTATTAAAAGAACACTTATGAAAAGCAAACAAAAGCGGAAGCTCTTAGTTCAACAGAAGGCCCAAGGCATGATCTGAAGTTACCTGAGGTAGCCTTAACAAAGTGGAGCAGATTTGCTGCAGAGGGTTGTTCATTGGCTCAATGAAAGGTTATTCAGGAACAAGTAAGGATAGAGGGTTGCTTATTAAAAGAACACTTATGAAAACAAACAAAAGCGGAAGCTCTTCACTTAGTTCAACAGAAGGCCCAAGGCATGATCTGAAGTTACCTGAGGTAGCCTTAACAAAGTGGAGCAGATTTGCTGCACAGGGTTGTTCATTGGCTTGATGAAAGGTTATTCAGGAAGAATGTATGCCATTTTGTGTTTTCTGGTGGAACATAGGAAGCTATCTTATACTGAGTAACATATCTGGTCCATCTAACTTAGCTGTGTCCAAGCTGACTGGTTGTTGCTCTCCAGTATTTTTCCTGGTTTTCCCTGCTGGTCTCCCATGGAAGTGCTAACCAAACCAGACCTGGCGTAGTTTCCAAAACCAGACAAGGACAGGGTATGTTTAGGGTGATATAAGAATATCAGAGCATATATATTTAATAAATAGCCCATAATGTTAGGACCTGTGATTCCAGAGACATGACAATCTTATAATGGAAACTTTGGGGAAATGCTTGTAAAATAACAATGAAAACAGAAAAGTTGATATTTTAAAAAGATGTGTACTTTTAACAGTAGAACAGCAAATATCCCACATTTTAGGCAGAAGAGAAGTGTCATATTTGATTGTTTGGTGTTCAGCTACAGCTATAGGCAAAGCACTTGGCTGAAAATGTAACCTTAACCACATGGCTGTACCAGATCAGATTGTTGTTTGTGCTTAACTCTACCTTGTCATTCTTAAGCTTCATAAGAACATGTCTGACTTGCACCCTTATAATTTCCTTTGTGAATGATCAATGATTTTTTCCATAGATTTTTAAGGATTTTCATGAAGGAACTATTAATTTTGGTCCAACATATAAATATGATGTTGGTTCGGAGGCTTATGATACAAGTGATAAATGTAGAACTCCAGCCTGGACTGACAGAGTTCTTTGGTGGAGTGAGAAACTTCCTATTGATAAAACAGGTACAGTATGTAGGATTTTCACTAACTTGTTCAGGTTTTAAACTATTTTATTTGTGCCATAGAATAAGAAATGCATTCCATGGGATATTGGTAGACCAATGCCTTACTTCCCAACTCTTGGGACCAGTGATTCGGAAGAGGGATTATGCTTTCCATGGGTCTCTCTCTGAAAACAAAATATGCAGAGTCCTGCTAGCTGTACCCCTCGTGCAACTCTATTGGTGTAGCTTTCAGCAAAAAACTGCACAAATTAGGAAGTCAGCAGAGGCATTTCCTGTCACACACCAATCATGGGACATAAAGAAATTTGTGCTACATATCATAATTGTATACTACTAATTATTGTAATATCAATATTGTGTCCTTCCCACCCATTTGGTTATAAATGAGCAGACAAAGTGTTAGCAGAGCTAATATTTTGCAAAAAGTCTCATGGTGCCCTAGGAATTTTTATTTGGCATTAGCTTTTATGGAATATGCATGTATCTGGTCAGGTGGGATGACCAGAAAAACATATGCTAAATAGAACTTGTTAGTCTTTGAAATGCCATGAGACCTTTTCTAGCTTTTGCTGCAGTAAACTAACACTGGGAAAATGTTGCTGAAACATTTGTCATAATTGTTTTAAACTCTAAATCTAAGTGTGCTTTTTTTTGTTTGTTTTTTTTTAAACAAAGCTGGAGAGCTCAATCTCCTTGATGCTGATTTCCATGTGGAAACCAAAGCCAGACCCATTTGGTCTCCTGGTGCCTTGATGTATTATGGAAGAGCTGAGCTCCAGGCAAGCGATCACAGGTAGCAACTTCTCAGCTATTATTTGACATTTCTGAAATGGTGTTGCCATTTTCACAGTTGTCATGCTTTTCTCTCTACTGTTCCATAATTTAAGTAGCAGAGCACAAGACTTTATGTGTATGAGGTCCTGCATCAACCCTTGGTGTCTCCAATTTAAATGATCTCAAGTTTTAAAAATATTGAACAATACGTCTGGACTTTAGAAAGCAATTGACTTAAAGGAACCAATATTCTCAGTAGCCAAAATCCTTTTGCATAGCTACACAAATGGTGTACCTTTTGGAGTCCAATTAAGTTAAGTTAAGAAATCACTATAGTTGAGAAATCACCAAGTTAAGAAATCACTATAGACATTATCAGTTGCACACTGATTCATGCAACTCAGTATACAGCAGATAATATCTATAGTGATTATGGCAATTCACCTCCAAAAATGACAGCATTTGTGTTAAACCTGTGTAACTAGATAAGAGAATTTGGGCCAGTATAAAGCAGTTTCATTTGTTCATAAAGATTGGCTATATCTGAGAGGTGAAGGATTGTTTAGAGGTCACTTTGGCTCAAGAATTCATGTCTGCTGTACTGCCAGAGTGGCTTTAAGGTCTATTTCAACATTGGTCAGAATCCAGTTGACTGTAAAACAGACATTCTGCCAATACAGTATAACTCTGCCCAATATCTGTTACACAAACAGAGATTGTACAGATTGTCCATTGAAGACTGTGGGGCTTCTGCCTCTGCAGGAAGTTACTGGAAACCTCTTTATGCACACTGAATCAGTATGGAGTTGGTGAGTTAACTCCTCTGTAAGTTCTGTTGATTCAATGGGCCTATGCTAAGCAGCAGGATTTCAACCATTGTATGTTAAGCAATCTCAAATTGTTTGTATTCTACAATGGTGGTTTTGTCAATAATTTATATCAATGTTTTCTCTCCAATCTTTCTTCTCCCCAGTAATTGTTACTTGTCTTCTTCTCTGTCTCTGAATAGGCCCGTGTTAGCAATTGTGGAAATGGAAGTCCAGGAAGTTGATGAAGCTACTCGGGAGAGAGTCTTCCAGGAAGTGTCCTCCTTCCAGGGTCCTCTGGATGCCACAGTAGTGGTGACACTATTGTTACCATCCCCTGAGGAAAAAGATGAATTTCCTGAGGATTTGCGAACAGAGCTTATGCAGATCTTTGAGACTTACGGCACTGTTGTGCTAGTTAGGTAAAATGCTATTTGTTTGTGTTTTAAAGAAATCAAATTTAACTATATGCCGCTGAAGCACAAGGATCTGCTGTTAAATGAGGGAAATGTGGGAACAGGATGGAACAGGTGCTTCCATGAGCACAACTTCTGTTCAGTTGTGCTTCCATGAGCACAACTGAACAGAAGCTCTTTCCAGTCAGGGAGAGAAAAGTTATGATCCAGCCACTGAAAACGAAATGACTGCAACAGATTTTGAAGGGGATTTAAATTTAAATAACATTAATAATAGGAAGTATTTCAGTTTAAAAATGAGCCAATAAAATATATCAGAAGATGTTCTGGTTTCCCGATCCTCTATGCCTTACATGTTGAAACACTGTGCCAGGGAAATTGATCATCAGCTGAAATGGGCTGCATGAGATAAAGTCTTCCCTGGAGACTTGGAGAGACAATTGATTGCCCTGAAATAGTATCTACAGGCAAATTAAAGTATCCCTTGTCAATTTAAAATTTCACACACTCCGCTTATGTTCTACTGTATTTCTGAATTAATGGATGTTCAGTGGACTTAACCCCAATTCAGGTGAAGATGGTTTAGAAAGTTATGTTCTCAGCTATATCACAAAAAACTTTTAATGCTCTGCTCTGGTAACATATTTTATGGCTGCTGTTCATTTCATCCTCCCACATACATACATTTGAGTTTTTGTGAGTGCCAAGTAGCCATATCTCTAAACTGGATCTTTTAACAAATTTGCAGAAATGTACAAAACATGCACAAGATGGCATCTCTGTGTTCTTTCTTGCCCAATAATTTTTTCCCACAGACTTGTTTTTGGTCATTATCATCATCATCATCATCATGGAGTAAAGTTTCCATTTTCAGCAGCCTTTACTGAAGGCATGGAAAAACACAGCCCTTTATTGATATTTTTGATACTGAGTACTTCATCATATCAGGCACTGAAGTGTATTGGAGGAAAAATAATCTATATTACCTGTGTGTTAGTTGGCCTTTAGTGTGTTACATTACAGTTGCAAAGCAGACAAGCCAAATCCATTTCCACTAAGCCCTTCCTGGAACCTTGCACTGTTTATATCAGGTTCAAGGTCAAGAACCATTTTAAGAGTCTTATATTCACATAGCCTGGAAAAGTGGGAAGGCAGTTAATGAGACGTAAACACATTTTGGTAAACTATAATCTTTTAAAAGATGAAAATGTTTCTAGGATGATGCCGTTTCTATAGAAACAGCCCAAGATGTTCTACTGAATAAGGCAAACTCCACCATTTTTCCAAATAAGCCACAAACTAACTGAAGCCACCTAAGTTACTTTGGCATACAATACAGCAAATACTACAACCATCTCTCACTATTCAGGGCACTGAAGAGATAATGATAATAAAATAGCTAACAATTTGTTGCCCTTTCACAACCTCCCAGATTTGCTGCTTAAGGCAGCTGTGCCATTCTGGCTATCGCTGCTTCTCCTCCTTTTTATTTCCTCCAGTGTTTAATGGCAGAGCAGGGCTGAAGGTCCGACTGCTGCCATCAAAGATCTGGAGAGAAAAGAAGGAGAGAAAGGAAAAGGAGAGAAAGGGAGCTGCTTAGTGCTGGAGTTAACGTTGTGCCTTCAAAGGTGTTCCAGAATTCAATCTCTGTTCATATACAGAGCAGCTAGTCAGAAGGAGGGAAAGAAGTCGAGGTGGCTTTATACATCCTATGGGAGAGGATGAAGGAAGAGGAATGTGTTTTGTCCTCTTTTCTTCTTCCTCCTCGGCATCTAGAGTGGTAACCTGAGCATGTCTCATTAGCAATGAAACACAAAGCTGTACCTCCACAGGTGGCACACATCTCATAGTGGAGGAGATTCAGGTTCAAAACCAGCCTGCCTCAGAATTCAGGTCACTGGAGAACAAAAGAGGGACAGAGTGATTGCTTTTGTATCCTGCCTGCAGATTTTCCATAGTCATCTAGTTGGCTGCTGTGGGAAGGAGAATGCCATTCCTCTTACTAAGAAATGCATCAGTTTCCAATTGGAATATTACATAAGAACTAAAAAGAAGGCATCCAAGTCATTCAGTCTCCCCGCCCCCCATCAGTTTGTGTGGAATGGATTGAATCTATCTTTATTCAGGGAGGGAGGCAAAAATATGATTGAAGCGCAAGATAATCTTACTGCATTAACTGTCTGGTCAAGCACAGACCCAGAATCATGCAGTCTGAATGAGTACAATAAGAAACATAGACCAGAAACCTTCTGGGGAAAAAAACATGCCTGCAATGGTAATCATTCAAGTGTTTTTTTGCTGAATGTCATGTCACTTGACCAGTCACATACTAGTTGTGAAAAAGGTGTGAAAAAGGTCACATGGCATCTTTTTAAAGGATACATGTTGTGTGTGCATTCCCCCCCCCCAACAAGATTTTGGCCTCAGTGTCTTGTATCCTAAAAACACTGAAAGCAATAATGCTGTTTTCAGGTGAAATGTGTATGGCTGACTAACCGGTTTTCCTTCCGCTGTTCTTGTTAGGATCCATGGAAGTCAAATGTTGGTGACATTTGCAGAAAGCAGATCTGCTCTTCATGTTCTTGATGTAGATGGTGTCAAGGTAAAACAAACAATACTGTACAAAATCCAATATTGTATTTTAGGCACCTGAGCATGTAGGTATCATTTAACTTCTGCATTGGATTTTCAGAGAAAGCTGACATCCACAGTTGTCTCTGATTTCACTGAAAGCAAGACATTTTTTACAGACATCACTTATAAAACAAAGATGACATTTCCCTGAATACCAACTTATAGTTTATATTTGACTAATTTTTTTAAAGTGTCAGCTGCTGCTGGGGGCTCTAGGGAAATTGTCTGAAAGCCACAAGCTGGTAAATGAGACAACAGTTGTAACACTTTAAAGGCTGATGATAGCACAAACAATGGGCAGGTGGGAACTCTTCTTCTTGCCACCTGTGGAAAACACAGTCACTTTCTCCCATACCTGTAGACCTTTTGCAGGAGGAGAGAAGGGGAGCACAGAGCAAGCCAGTGTGTGTGTGTATGCACTGCCTTCTCCTTTCTTCTTCTTGCCACCTGTGGAAAACACAGTCGCTTCCTCCCACACCTGTAAACCTTTTGCAGGAGGAGGGAAGGGTCTTCTTGCCACCTGTGGAAAACACAGTCGCTTCCTCCCACACCTGTAAACCTTTTGCAGGAGGAGGGAAGGGGAGCACAGAGCAAGCCAGTGTGTGTGTGTATGCACTGCCTTCTCCTTTCTGGTCCAGATGGTGCGTGCGCGCGTGCGTGCGTGCGCGCGCGCACTGCCTTCTCCTTTTTGGTCCAGATGCTAAGTGCTGTAGGGCAGTGTTTCTCTACTACTGGTAGGCATCATGGTACACATACTGGTACACGTCAGTGGTTGTATGCAATAGTTACCTAGGTGGACACAGTTTTTCCACAACAATTTTCAGTTACTAATGGAATTATTATTTCTTGTTCGTGCTTACTCTCAACAATAGATCTGATTTTTATTATCTTAAAATGTAGGGTAAATGATCAGTGTAATAACAGAATACCTGTAAATATGTACATGTGTCTCTTAGGACATGTGAATTTTTTTGTTCGTACTATAATACTGTGATTCAGGTTCTCTAGCAGAGTGATTTATGGGATATTATTAAGGTACGAAAGGCTGAGAATCTCTGCCATAGGCAACTTAAGGCTTTGGGGGAGATTTTATTGAATCAAGAAGAGGGGTGGGGCCCAGTATGATGTCAATTGAAGAATGACGTTTAGATCTTGTTGGCTGGAGTCTCATTTGAAAATTATGCCAGAATAAGTCCATTGATGTACATTTCAGCTGCAAATTGGTGCAAGTTAAGAAGTCAGTGTAGGCATTAATTGTCATACATCAAGGCATGCAACTGGTGTGTGGTGGGAGATGCCTACTTCAAACTTCTTAACTTGTGCCAATTCATCACTGACATTTATGTTGATGGATTTATGCCAGTAGACCTAAGTAATAGGATTGTAGTCATTGTTTTTTTGCATTTTAAAGGTTAGGACAGAAGTATGAATGGTATAACAGATTTCACCAGCAGAAGATTTCAGTTTTGTTATGATTATGAAGAGTTGTAGAGAGATTTCAGAGTTCTTTAAAAGAGCTATACTTATGTGTTGTTTTTATGTGTTTGGAAGCCGCCTAGAGTGGTCGCAAGACCAGATAGGCAGGATAATAAATAAATAAATAAAGAAAGAAAGAAAGAAAGAAAGAAAGAAAGAAAGAAAGAAAGAAAGAAAGAAAGAAAGAAAGAAAGAAAGTTAGTTTTTTGAGGGTGCAGAAGAATCTGCAAGCAGTACTAGCTGACCTTGTTTTCCTTCAGTTGGAACTGGTTTTCCTCCTGGATGTCACTGTAATTAACCCTCAAAATATCATTAACCATTAAAAAGAAAAGCAGAATACAGGAGAATATTTTGAGAGAAAGAAAAGTGCTCTTAGCTAAGTAAATAGTGCATTCATGCTGTGAGTATTGTATATAGTTTTGTAGGTATATGTAGTAGAGTACTAAGCTATTAACAGCTTTAGTGGTTGGGTGACAAAGAAAGAGAGCATGTGTTAATAATACATGCAACAGCAGGAATTTATAGCTCCCTTGCCCTTCTTGTATATGATTCACCTCTGAAGTCATTCTCTGAAAAGTAGCAAAGACATTCAAGTGTTTTGATCGTCTTCCATGCAAGGAAGCGTTAAAGACATTAGGCTTTAATGGTTTGCTAAAGTCTTTTTCAGAGCATTCTCAAAATTACCTGGGAAATAATGCTTCTAATTGAGTATTAACAGCAAAAAATAAAAACGGAGGGGGGGGAGGAGGGACTTGGTTCAAAATTAGCAGGTGGTGGTACTTGTGTCCTGGCATGTAGTGGACCTCCATGTCTCCTCCAGTTGTTTGAATCTTTAACCGCAAAACTAGTTAATCTTGAAACATGCCTTTTGTTGTTGTTGAACATAATGTTTTCTGTGCATTTCAGTTTTATCAACCAAGGGAAAAAATATTTCATTTTATGTACATTTGTGATGCAGATTCATGGCAAAACTGTGAAGATTTCACCTAAAACCAAGGACTGGCTGAAGGGCCTACAGGAAGAAATTGCTAGGAAAAGGGACAGCATGGCCCCAATGTCACCCACAGCAAACTCCTGTCTACTGGAGGAAAATTTTGATTTTTCAAGTTTGGATTATGAATCAGAAGGTGGGTGATATGAACTGCAAGTGAAGCTGTAACCATTGAGCTTTCAGCCAGCCAGTCTCTCTGTGTGCGCATTCTTCACTGGTACATTTAGAATCACAAAAGGGGCCAATCATGCATTGTTCAGTGCTGCTAGACTTTCAGCATGATTCTGTACACATCTAGTCAGGTGTATGTAAATCCCACTATGTTCAGCGGAATTTACTCATAGAAGTAGATGTGTACAGAATTCTACTTAAGATTAACCACAAATCTCTTCTTCCAAGAGAACTACCTTTCTGTCAAGGTAAACCTCTTCTGCCAAATGATTGCAATGATTTGTAAACAGAGCAGGCTCATTTCAGCATGATTCTGTACACATCTAGTCAGGTGTATGTAAATCCCACTATGTTCAGCGGAATTTACTCATAGAAGTAGATGTGTACAGAATTCTACTTAAGATTAACCACAAATCTCTTCTTCCAAGAGAACTACCTTTCTGTCAAGGTAAACCTCTTCTGCCAAATGATTGCAATGATTTGTAAACAGAGCAGGCTCATTGGCAGAACTGATCTGCTGGCTAAGAGATAGCCCGAAAAACCCACAACAACAATTTATTTAATGCTGGCAGAAGAGCTGAAAAAGGAGGGTCAAGTGAGGGAGGAGGTCCAGATCACTTTCAGTCCAAGAAGGAATCCTCAGTGGTGGGACAACGTTAGGCCAGGGTGAGAGTAGTCCTAATTAATGTCCAATGTCCTCGAGCTAGATGCAGTTTGGGTTCCACAGAGCTCCATCTCTATGCCATACTGTGCAGTTAGGATCACATTCTTAGTTGTTAACCTTTAGTTCCACCTAAAATTATTTCAGAGATTTTCTAAACTACCTCCTATTATGAGACATGCAGCCAGAAGTCCCTGAAACAAGCCTTATTTATTTATTTATTTATTTATTTATTGGACTTATATAACGCCCCATAGCGCCAGAGCTCCATCTCTATGCCATACTGTGCAGTTAGGATCACATTCTTAGTTGTTAACCTTTAGTTCCACCTAAAATTATTTCAGAGATTTTCTAAACAAAAGCCTTTTACTTGTGAACTACCTCCTGTTATGAGACATGCAGCCAGAAGTCCCTGAAACAAGCCTTAGATATATGAAATAGGATTTATTCCTCGCTTCCTTCTTTTATCTCCGTCTTCTCCCCTTGCATTTAAATGAAATGCATTTTGAAAGAACTCGCTGAGCAGCTGGTTAGGGCAGCATTCAGAGAAAGGGCTCTGAGCCCTCTCTTCCACAGTCTGGCAGGTCCTGATCTAACTCATTCCTTTAGCTATGCTCACTGCAGAAAAGTACCACCACGCATCTCTTTTCAACACATCCCTTTCTTTTGAGCAAACATTTAAAACAAGGGTAAGAAGGGCAAAATTTACTCCTTCCAACTTATCTTAAGTGTTTCCTTCATTATGTCTTGTGATTTAGGTGATATTCCTGATGAAGAAGATGATTGTCTGGATGATACATTGCTTCAGTTACCTCTTACATCAGATATGGCATTAGCAGTGGAAGATCTGCTGGATGGGCCTGAAAATTTGACAGGGGCCTCTGTACCCCATGCGAACAAATCTCACCCTGGAGGAAGAAAGTTATCTCCATATAAAGGTAACTTTAGTAGCATCTTTATAAGTTGGTGGAGATGTATAGGAACCAGAGTGGAGCATTCAGAAGAAGCTGCTGAGATGTGTCTTTTCATAGAAAGAAGCAACTGCAACTGATTTCTTTCCTGAAATGTGTATCTGCTATATAAACGTAGCCCTAACCCTAAGTGTCCTCCATTTCTACTTCCAGTCTCTATCTTACTCTGAGAGCAAGGTGAGGTGGACAGGCTCTGTGGCGTGGCCACAGAAAATGCTAGATGTAGCACTCTCCATAAGAGCTGGATGGGCCCTGTAAAAAAATTTAAAAAAAAATTGGGGCTCCACAAGGCCCATGGGCCCAGCTTTGCCCAACCCTGAACTCACAGGAAAGTTGACCCTGTTTGAAAGCTCTGTGCCATGATTCCTTGAGAGAGGGCAGTGTAGCCATGTGGTAGAAAGCTAGTGAATTTTCAGAAGTGCTGATTAGTGCTAAGAGAGGATAACAACTTTATCTGCTGGTTCTGGCTTCCTCTGTGACTAGTTGTTCTTCCCTGAGGGATAACAGGGACCAACGACTGAGGCAGCTGTTCAAGCATTGTCTGTTGCTTCTTGACAGAAGAGTGGAGCTGAATGTGGGTCATTAAACAGTTGGGACATTTCCTCGTGTGGGCAGCAGATGCCTGTGTCTTCATAAATTCGTCCCTCAGATTCTCTCCTTGCATAGGCAGACATCGGATTCTCATATCCAGGGTTTCTGTTTCCGTTGTTCTGTTTTCTGTTTTTAATTTATTTTGGCATCTTCGCTAGAGGATACCAACCTGGCTGAACTAAAGCAAGAAACAGAAGGAAGTGGGGAGTTTCGTCGCCATTCCCCAAGCAGGTCTCTTTCTGTTCCTGGAAGACCTCGGCAGCCTCAGCCACCACAGCGACCTCCTCCTCCAGGTGATTCATGGTCTTTTTCTCTAAAGAGAGGAAAGTTCATGTTTTTTAATTCTCTCATCTGGAAGCAGTCTCTGGATTTCTGAACCTTTAAAGCCTTGAAATCAAATCCCTAAATATGTTCATTTGGAAGCAAGCAAGGTGACAAGATAGCAACGTATTTCCCCCCACACTGGTGGCCTTGCATTGGTTGCCCATTCCTTTCTGTGTTGATTTCAAAGTTCTTACAATGACATATAAAGCCCTAAATGGTTTAGGACCTCGATATCTTGCAGAGCACCTTCTCCCACCCAGTTCTGCCAGAATCACTCATTCCAGCCAGGCCGGGTGAGTTAGAGGCCTAAGGCCGAGGGAGGTCCAGAAGGAAAGAACGAGGAGCAGGGCCTTCTCAGCAGCGGCCCCTCGCCTTTGGAACAACTTGCCAGTGGAGAGCCGCCTGGGTGTTTTCAGGAATAAACTTAAACCCTGGCTATTTGGGCAGGCTTTCCCTCCTGCCATATCTTAATTTCTTATACTTTTTCCATATTGGACCTATATGTTTTTGGTTTTATTGTTTTTAAATTTGTAAACCATCTAGAGTAGACCTTGGGTCTAGATAGGCGGGATAGAAATCCAATGAATAAAATAAATAATAAATAATACTCTCCATAAAAGCAATTATGCACCCAGCCTCATCTAAATCCATTTAAATTCTGTACCAAGAAAGACTGAATTATATTGTCTGAATAAAGTAAGCAAATAGATTTTTTTAATCGTTGCTTTCCAATTTTTGGCATATATTATGTAAATTAATACAAGAATGTTAATATTTCTCACTTTCAAACTTTGAAAAGTATGTATAGCACTGTGTGCAACCTGGTTATAAAAACAAAGAAAAAAAAGTTTCAGCTGTTTTTTAGCCTCTGAACCGATTGGCCAATTTTTTTGCTTTTTCACTTCCCCCCCCCCCCAAAAAAAGTTGAGTTGTTTTCCTAGACTTTGATCAAGCCCAGATGCTTTTGAACAAAAGCTGGCAGGAGCATTTTCACTTGGTGCTACTGCCTGGCCTGATATGTATAACTCATGGATACACACTCAGAAAAAAGTGTATTAGTTCATGTGTGGGTGGGAGCACTTCCTCCTTAGCTGTCCACTCACAGTCTCTGTTAAGCCGAGAAAGGCAGGGTTTGCATTAACAGAGCAAGAAGGTGATTCTGCGGTGTGTGGTTCATTTGCATTTGCCTTTGAGTGAAATTCCTTTACCCCACAGTGGATCCCCAAGCTCAGATTCAGACCACCTGGTCTGCCAGCAACAGCTAATGGAAGAAGCAGAATATTACATTTAGGACGACTCCTAGAATCCAACACACTCTGCCACCAGAAATTTTGCATGCTCATATGCCATCTAGGTACCAAGATTTTTGAATCAAAAGTTGGAAAATGTGCCAGAGTTGAACTGTAGCATCTTCTTTGTTGCCTTTTACTTGCGTAGCTCACATCCAAAAAGCTAAAAGAAATGCCTGATGTACTTCTTCTGCAGTTGGAGTATCTGTTAAAAAATCTACATCAGATGGCTCCATCTCTTCAGGCGGCCATTCGTTGTCCTCTATCCTACAGACTGCAAAGCTGCTTCCAGGGGCACCACAGCAGCCAGTGAGTAGCTCAACACAATTGTTCCAAGCATTTATTGAAAGGGGAAAGGCACCCCAAACTTTAAGTTAATGCATCTGATATTTAGGTGGGAAGACTGAAGATGACTGAGAAACAACAAAATAGCAAGAGAAGGGGATGGTTCTTTGGGCTGATAAGTCTGTCATGCCAAGTAGAGGGAATGATCTAGCTCTGGATAGAGTTGTGCTATAAGACAAGATAATACAGTCTGGAATGCCTGTGTACTGTTTTAGTAAGGAAAAGCACAGGTAATGACAGTGACCAGAAGAGCCTTCTTGCAGCTCAGATTTGTACACTATCAGCCGCACTATTTTGGAACAGCAGCATCTGACTTTGTTTGCCGTTGTTCTGCAATATCCTTTATATGAGTCTGCTTTATAAAATGGCTGGAAAATGTCAGTTGGGGTAAAACGGAGCCTTGTGGATATTAATGAGGACCTGAAAGTCTGAGGCCTAAATTCAATTGCTAGTTTCAGCTAGAGTTGAATGAATAAATCAACTATGAAATAATAAGTTAAAACTTCCATCAATTTCATAAATCCCATAGGTCTGCTCTAATTGGGACTAGCAGTTGAATACAGGCACAAACATTTTTGTCCCTTATGTACCTACACTGGCTATTGGTACATTTCTAGTCTCAGTTCAAGATGCTGGCACTCAAAAAAGTGCTCTGCCAATTTACTTCTACTGTTTATTGTTGTTAATTATGGCTAACTATTATTACTGCTACTAGTAGTAATAGTGGTAGTATTTTAGTGGAGCATTTCCTTAAATAAGTTGTGTGGCCTAAAAATATTTTTTTTCTCATGCATTCTCTTTAGTTTGCCTGGTTATATGAATATACATCCTAATATTTTGTTGCTTCTGTTTTTTTAATTACTGTGAATAAAGCAGATAGTCATGCTCATGCTTCATTAGTACCAAACCTGTCAAGGATAATTTTACAATCACTGTTTATATTTTTTCCTGTCAGAGGCTTGCATTATTTATTTATTGCCCTATATTCCTCTTCTTATTAAAATTCCTGATGTATCTTGTGAAAAATTATATGTGCCTCACCAAAATAACAACTACTGTATAAGCATTAGAAAACTAGAGCTTAGAGAAACCAGACTCTATAATGGGGCACCCAAGACTTATGTTTTTTATTAGGTAGGGCAGTGCTGAGGGAAACGTCCTCTTAAAATATCTGTGAAGATTCTCAGTCCTCTTAAGTGTCATTTTGAGTACTAAATAACGGAAGCAAGATAGGTGTGTGGAGTTCTAGAAGCACTGAGGCAACAGCAAAGGCCCTAGACTTTTGAAATGGGTCACTCAGTGAAAATAATGTGCCTGCCATCATGTTTGCACCCTGCTTGGGAGTGCTGTGCATATGACTTTCTCCTACAGTTACTTTCCTTTTTCCCCCATTGTGTTTCTTTTTAATCCTTGCAAGCCCAAATCACGGACTGGAATTAGTAAGCCATACAATGTGAAACAAATCAAAACCACTACCCCTCAGGAAGCAGAGGAAGCCATCCGGTGTCTGATGCAAGCAAAAGGAGGTAACACAAATAAAACTTCCTGCTAAGAGCTTTGATTCCAACTGGTGTTTGTCTGTTTGTTTTTATGTCATCCTTCCATAACTATGGTGTGATACGTAAATGGCATCTCTTTCAGAAGCCCTCATGATGCTATACACCTTCCCAGTGCAATGGAACTTGGAAAAAATACCATTAGTTCAAATAGTAATAACCCATCCTTTTGTTTTGAACTATTGTCTTTGTCTTACACAGGCTTTGTGTAAGTCTATAGGGAATGGGCCTTTGATTGAAAAAGGAAAGAACACAGAGGAGGTTCTCCCCCCCATCCCCCAATTTATGAGATTTTTCAGTGATTCCTGAAAGAGAGCCTCTTAAACATGTATGATATGTACAGGATTTATGAAAGAGGGATATACATGAAAATTCTTTGGATTTCCTCCTTATGTTTAATTTCTGTTTCACTTTTTGTCTGTCAAACCCATAGCGCTGCAAGGGCTGTTTTCAAAATTCAATCAGAATGTCCAGGAGAGGAGAGGAGGAATTTTGAAAAGGGCCGAGGTTGGTTTGCAGACAGTGAGATGGAGAGAGGGTGGGCTTTCCTTGCATTAGCCCAGTTGTGCTGCCTGGCAGCTCCATCAGGGTCTCAACAACCTGCAAAGTTCCTGTTGCTATTCCAGCTACTTTCTTGTTTGCTGATTATAATTAGCTTGAAGTCAGTTAAAAATCTCAGGCAGTGCCACCATTTTTGCCCGTGCATGCACACACATACACACAACTTGCAGAATCACAGCCTTTGTGCCAATGGAGCTGTTAGTGTTCTGTCCCCAGGCTGCTCTCCCATTAGGCAGCCCTGCTTCGCTTGGCATTGGGGAAAAAGCATACATGACAAAGTGCAGAGAGACTGAAGCAGCCCTGTGTGCATGGGTGTGTGCATATGAACATGCTCTGCAAAGGAGCTCAGGCATCCTAATTACACCAGCCTGAAACGTGCTTGAAGCAGGGTAGGGCAATTGTGAGTTGAAGAGGCCAAGGGAAACAAAAAGAAGACAACAATGGGCCTTCTGGTTGTTGTGGGTTTTTCGGGCTCTTTGGCTATGTTCTGAAGGTGGTTCTTCCTAACGTTTCGCCAGTCTCTGTGGCCGGCATCTTCAGAGGACAGCACTCTGTGCTCTGGTGTAGTTTGCTTGGGAGTGGAGTATTTATGGCTGTGAGATAGGCTTTTGTCCTACTCAGGAGATGGGTGATTAGCGTGTCTTGTTGGTGGACTCTTGTGATAAGGAGGAGAGATTATCTGTCACTGATTGATGGGTGTTGTTAGCTGGTCTTTTGTGTGTAGTGATCCCCGGTTCTTGTGGCTGGGTAGAAGTCGTTGACCTTTTGCACGCTGTATTTTTCAGAGCTGGAAGCCATGTTTTGTTGAGTTTCAAACTTTCCTCTTTTTTGGTCAAGTTCTGCTGGTGCTTGTGGATTTCTGCCACCAATGTCAGCAAAGTAGGAACTGTGGCTGCCAGTCAGTGCTATGGCTGCCTTTCTGGTTTCCTTGCTAGCTCTTGGGAAGCCCAGATGCAGAAGGAGAAGAGGCAGCTGAAAGCGAGTGCTGTGTTTTTTTGCGAGGCAGTGGAGGGCATGCTTTATGCCATTCTTCCCTTTCTCCTCCCCCTCCATCTCATCTGCTTTCTCCTTTTTTGACTGGCTCATTGTTTCACCATTTCTCCCGCCATTTGATTCTTCTCTTCCCAGGCTAGATTTTTCTGTCAGGCACAAATGGGTGGAAAAGAAAGGAAAAGACGAAAAAAATAACGACAACAACACAGTCCTTCCATGTTAAACAGAACGACCGACACACAAAAGACTTCAAAACTAATGAGACATTACCTCAGTCTGGAAGAACCCAAAATGATACAAAAATGAAATATTTAGCAATACACACACCTATAAGCCAATACATAGGTTTTGAAAGGAGTCCTTTGCAATCTCTTACATTTAATCAGAAACACTTAGTGTTATAAAAATTGTAATGTGCTAAGAAGAAATGTTTTGTTGAAGTGAAATGGTCTGTTTTGTATGTCCTTTGTATTTTTCAAGAATGTTTTATGTCAGCATTACATATATATAGGAAGATTCCTTCTATTGCCTTAGCTGACTCCTTTCGCTCAATAATGCGCAGGGCACTGACTGTCAACAAGTCTCCTAGGTTGCAAAGAGAAGTCCTTTCTGGCTGTACCTCAAGATGGCAGAGGTTGAAGCTGGGACTTCGGGCATGCAGAGTAGGCTGGTCCACTCTAAGAAATTACCAGTGAGAGTCAGAAATGACCAGCATTTATTGATAGGAAGCTTTATAAAGCTCTTGTCTTCACTACTTGTTTTCAGCCCAAACAGTGCCTCGGGTTAGTAGGAAAGGGTTGAGGGTAACTGCACTTTGGAAAACGGCACTCTGAATTTATCTTGCATGGATTGTTATCTTTCACATTTCAGTAGCAACAGATGATGCTGTGGCACCTGTTCCAGGAAAGACACAAAGTGTCAGTAAACCTGAAAGCTTCCCCAGTGTTCCCAAGCCAACTCCAGCACTCATACCTCAACGTCCTCCACCCAAAGTCCCAACCACTAAGAAACCAGTACCCTTGCAAAGAATGGGAGGGAAACCAGAAGATGTAAGTATTGGAATGGATCTTAATTTTACCAGGGTTATGGAGGTGGCCAGCTGTTAACATTCTGTTGCCTAGTTTGGGGGTCATGATATTGGAATGCTTCCAATAATCAACCCTCAAGGAGGGGGGTCCCTACTTCCTGCTGCAGCCCCCCTGCCATGCATCCTCAAAATCTGCTCCCTGGGGCTGAAGACACTTCTGGAACACATTTTATGGCAGCAGAAATGGATGCAGTGAGGAGTGAAAAGGAAGACAGTCCTATTAAGCTAATGGAGCTCTGCTTCTCCAGTGCTAGATTCAGATCAATAAGTATAAGGTAAATGTGCAAATTATTAATTTAACACTTTATTGCTCAACTGAGTTAGGTGTTCAACCTTTAGCAGCACAGTTCATCTTTCTTTTTTTAATATTTTATTTTTAAACTACTAGGAATAGGGTAGGGAGTACAAAAGGTAAAAGGAAATGGAAGGGATGGGAAAAAGATTTTAAGGATAGGAGAACACAGAATATACCATCATCCATCTATTCATGTTAAGTATACAAGCATCCAATCTATTCATTTTTCAATTTAAAAAAATCAACTTTCTGCCTTTTTAACTGTTTGATTACCTTCTAGCGATCAACATATATTTATGTTTTAGTTTAAATCTAAGTTACTCCAATACTATCAGGAAACCGAGAGCCATTGTAAAATACATTCCCTCTTTCAATTTCCTTCAGTCTTAGACATACATTCAGCACGCGTGAAAAAGTATCCATTTTTGTCACTTCCCATATTTTCTCAGTACAGTGGTGCCTCGCTAGACAGTTACCCCGTATGACAGTTTTTTTGCTAGACATTGACTTTTTGTGATCGCTATAGCGATTCGCAAAACAGTGATTCCTATGAGGGAATTTCACTGGACAATGTTTGGTCCCTGCTTCACAAACCAATTTTCGCTAGACAACGATTTTGACAGCTCCCTCCGTGCTCGCAAAATGGGTGTTTTGGGGACTTAAGCTTCGCAAGACAGCTATTTAAACAGCTGATTGGCGCTTCGCAAAGCGGCTTTCCTATGGCCGATCTTCGCTAGACAATGATGATTCTTCCCCATTGGAACGCATTAAACAGGTTTCAATGCATTCCAATGGGGAAATGCTTTCCGCTAGACAATGATTTTGCTAAACAGCATGGAATGGATTATCGTCTAGCGAGGCACCACTGTATGCATCTCTTGTTTCCGGGACTCTGTTTTTCTTTCAGTTTTTGGAAGAGAAGGATGAATCCAGGACAGTAATCTGATTTTTAATATCACATTTTCTGACTGTTGTAGCTAAATAGCTCACTGGGTACCTCTTCCTCCCATCTATGTTACATGGCATTGCACTCAATAAAAACAGTTGTGGAGTTAGTGCAGTTTCATTTAACTGTTGTTTAACATCTGATGACTTCTCTTTCATCAAATCTTCCATCTGGCTTACCTGCTGAAATCCTGTTATTATTATCATTTGCATGGTAACCTGCCATTCTTCATCTGACAAAGTCCCCAACAGTTGATATTTAAATTTTTCAGAGGCCATTTCCATCTTTCCAATGAGTATGGTCTGTATAAATGATACTCTTTAGCTTCCACTATTTTATTAACAAACCAAACCCATCATCATAAACCTCCCCTAAGTACTTCCTCCCCTCCTTACCCAGATATTATAGTATATAGATCAACTTTTAGCCTAACAATTTAAATTACAACCGTGGCAGTATTATCAGAGTCCCACACAGTCCAGCCAAGAAAAAGTCCAGACTAAACAGCAGACACAGGAAGTCAGTCTCTCCAATAGATATTCTTATAATCCATCAAACTCCAATCCTGGTTTTCCTAGCTCCTGAACCTAGCTGATTTTGTCGTCTTACTGGAAATTCACAGTCCGTTTTCTTACTTCCACAAGCTTATTCCTCCTCCTACGAAAACCCAGCAAAATTCTGTTATCAAAGTCCCATACAGTATAGGGAGAAAGATCCAGACTAAACAGCATTCACAACATTTCAGTCTCTTAAAGCCTGTCCAGTGGTATTTTCTCTGGGATTTTTTCCAGAAACACAAGATTTTTCCGTCTCACTGTCTCTCAATTTGACCTTGAGCCAGCCTGCTGTTTAAGAGTCCGTTTCGTTTTGAAGGAGCAGGCTGGCAAGCAAGACTTGCTGCTCCTTATCTTCTTTCGGCCAAGTATTTTCACTCTAATTTCTTTTTCATCTTAATGAGATTATTCATAAATCAAAGGCTTCAACTTACTTTGTCACTGTATATTTTTCAGCCGTATTTCTTGTTCTCTCCTCGGGGGTGGGGGTGGAGATGCTCATAGTTATTCTGCCAAGATGGCTCCCATCTCTGATCTGTGCTCGGGTGAATTTTCAGAGGGAAGAAAAATCAGATTGCTGCCCAATCTTCTTCCTTCTGGGGCTCACCAACTGCTTCAGAGAGACCTCTTGTGGTCTCCTCTTCGATCACCCCATTTCTGGAGGGACCCCAGACCAGGCGGTTCCAGCTTTTCCCAGGAGCTATTCCCGGGAGCTGCTGGCAGCACCACAACGAAGCTCCGCCTCAGCACAGTTCATCTTTCAATAGTGCTTAAAAATGCCGGCATTACATTTGGAGAGAATCTGTGTGTGAAATCATGGGAACAAAGACCAGTGAAATGGCAGTGAAACCATATCTGGCTACTTCTAGGATTTGTGCATTTATTTCACCTACATATCTAATCAAATTTGTTCCTACCATAGAAGGAAGTGGGGCAGATGTAAGAAATAGTCTGAAAATATAAGTACCTTTTTCAAAAAGTGTTCTGTCCCTCATGCAATCCAGTTCTCATTTTCTTAGATACAGAATTGTTCAACAGAATATGAATCCATCAAGAAAGTGGGAGTCTTGTACTCTGAATTATGATTTGCTGGATAGTTGAATATTGTAATGGTGTCTAGCAAAGAGGTGTGAATCCTTGGGTGATTGGAATAAAGAAGTGGGAAATACAACATAGCAGTGTATCTGCAGCTCATTGTCTCAAGCTCCTGGTCAGGACTTTGACTATCCTGAAACAGGAGCTTTTTCCCCCATGCTGGTGGGTGAGCAAGAGAAACAATAAAGTGATACTTCATCACTGTCCTGTTCCTCCTGTGCTAAACTCCCTGGGTGGGTGGGTGAGCAATGTCCAGTAACACCAATAAAGGGTCTTATGGTTCCTCTGACTTGTTAAATGGTAGCCTTCATTATTCTATAATTGAAACAGATTCTATGGAAATCTTTTAAAATCTGTTTTGTTTCATTTACTTTGTTGCCTTTTAAAAGAAATTATAGTGGAGGTGGCTTTTTTAAGAGTCCAAATTGAGTGACAACCTTCATATTAGGGCAGAGGTGGGCAAAAACCAGATAGATTAGGTGCAGAAATGAAACCCCCAGCGTCTGCCACCTGCAGGCTGCATCAGGCCTGGAAATGTCTGAAAATAGCATTTTTTAACATTTTAACTTTTTTTAATGTTTAAAAATACATATTTCTGTAACAACTCCTAAAAAGTAAAAGAATCTCTGTTATACTGTTACTAAATTTATTTATGAAATGTCAGCCAGTAATACACCACTGGACGCTATGGCAATTCTGTTAAATTATACAAGAAGACTTGAATCACATGCTTCTGGGAAGAGGGACCCCAGACCAGGCGGTTCCAGCTTTTCCCAGGATGAAACAGATTCTATGGAAATCTTTTATTGTGTGGCCTAAAAATATTTATTGCTGCTACCATTTCTGTGTAAACAAAGTGGAATAAGAAAGAGCCCTCTTCTATAAATGACTAAGTTACTCATGTCTAGAATATCACCTTGATCAGGGGATGCAAAGAAATTATTTGTAAGGTGAACATACATTTTGCAAATGATGGGCAATATTTGTATTGGAATGAGAAAGTAAGCTATGAAAATGGATGTTTCAAAGGGAAGGAAACAAAGAGAAAATGCCCATTCTTTTTGTGTGTTTTTTTTGTTTTGTTTTGTTTTTTGAGAAAAGAGTGGGGTGTCTTGGGGGACCATGCTGCCAGACAGCAGAAGTCACAGGAGGAAAAAAAAAACACTACTGCCCCTATTGCCTTTTTAAGGCCATTTTGTTTGTTTATAAATAGATATACAGTCAGATTTTAGGGAACTGCTGGGGGCTACAGAAATGCCCCTGGAGAGAAATGGAACCCTAAGCTTTTTTTTTGTTTTTGTTTTGCCCATCCCAGTACAGGATAATTGCATGTACAGAATCACAGAAGACCATGCTATATCAGCCATGCTATATTTAGGATTAAAATAAACTCAGTGGGAGAGGGTTGATGAGATTGTATTTTTGTGATCATCTTCCTGTTCCTTATGTGGAGCTGGTATAAAAGCAAATAACTGAAATACTGCCATCTTCTTCTCAGCCCTCCTCTCCAGAAGAGCAGTTTGAACAGTCTGCGGGTTACTTCTCTTTTGCATCGTCAGAGTCGTGCCCTGAAGGCAGAGCCATTACTAGTCCCGTGAGCGCACATCCTGTTCCTAAACCAAGAACAACACAGCATGGCAAGATCCTTGAGAGGAGGAGAAGCAATGAAAGGCAATCACCCGCACTGTGTCTTTTTGAGGAAAGTTCTCATATTCCTGTTCAGAATCCCACCTATGCTGCTCCGAGAGTTCCACCGAGGAGAAAGAAGTCTGCTCCTCCAGATTTCCATCTGCAAGTGCTTGAGGACAGTGACAGCTTGTTTCTAAAGGGTTTAACACTCAACTCTAACAACCATCCCTCAGAATCCTCTTTTGTAATACAAGATTCAGATCCCATTCCACTTTCTGCTTGCAAGTCCCTTATTCTTCCGACAGCAATCATAGCCAGTCCTGTCAGCAATGGCTCTAAGCTTCTGAGATCACCCACTTCCGAATTTAGTAGTCAGCATGCTTGTCCTCCCATTTCTGTCCACCAACAGCAGCAGCTTTCAGGAAGTGTTGGTGTCATGGGAAATGCCAATCTGTTAGACCTAGATATAGACTTTGCGGCTTATCACTCAGTAACTCAGCCTCTGCCAGTCGGCCCATCTCATGCTCCAAATGATTTGAAACTTTCCAGCCCTACAGATTTCAGTCACTGGGTTACTTTTGGTGAAGTGGGAAACCATGGCCTTAGACCTCAAGTTCCAAAAGAACTGCTCCCCTTCACACAAAACCAAAATGACTGTGTAGATACAAGTTCAGATTTAAAATGATCCTATTTTCTTGTGGCTTCTAAAACATCAGAATAATAATAATGGTAATGATAATGATAATAGGACAAGATTTTTCAAAATAATTTGCTGCACTCTTAAGAGTTCTTCTACAGAAAAGACTAATTTCAGCAAATGAGTTATGGTACTTCACCCACCCAACCCAATGAATTCTGATTCAACACAATTGGTAAATTTAGCAGTAACAACGTGTTTTCCATGTGGATAGTGTACTATTCCTGCTGCAGCCACTCTTGTTCTACTCTTGTCTACTTTTCTTTGCAGTGAAAGTGAAAGCATGATGGATTTTGTATTATGGATAACAGGCACTTCATGTCTCTTTAGATTTAGTTAATGTAACTTCTTTACAAACTTACACATACCTTCTAGGAATGAGGTCTTACTGAACTTAGTGGAATTTATTTGGGGGTGGTGGTAAATGTGTACATTCTAGAGTTTTGTGTTTTCTTTTTCATGTATGTTCATATCTGTGCCCTATGAGAAGGCAATTTAAAACAAACAGGCTCAATTAATTCACTTTGCATTTCAGTGAGGCCTGTATTGGAGATGACATTTCTGATTATTGTACCTAGAGAGAGCAACACAGAGTTAAGATGGAGATGGTGACAGATGTGAAAATAAACACCAAAACTCATCCAAAGTTGTGTCTTACAAGCATCAGGAACTGAGATGTCATAGTACAGTATCAGGAATTGCCACCAATGTTAGAATGTCTGAGGAAGAACACTGTTGGTGGAATAGACAATGGTATCTCAGAAGATGAGGATTTATATGAGATGACTAGAAGATGCATTTTGAGTCCTGTTGCTGCAGTCCCTTCCCAAACTGAATTATGAACTGAAGTGGTCCATCTGAATTTGAAGAGTTACTCCCACATGGCTTTCCTATTGAGTTGCTGTTTGCTGCTATAGCCACTGACTCCTGGCCCTGGCTGGTTCAGGAGGTTCAAAACTACTCCCATGTTAAGAACAGAAATATGTAGCAGATGTCACAAAGGACATGTGAGAGAGGCCTCTGTATTAGTTCCATGGCTTTCAGCCTTTGGGGTTGGTCCCCAAGAATAAAATCTTGCTCAGAGCATTGTATGTTCAGTAGGATTATAGAGAAAAATTATGAGTTCTGTGATACTAGCATAAAATATGGAGGAAAACATTCTTTGTAGCTAAGAAAGTTACTTGGATTTACAGGGGAGTCATACAGTCTGGGGGCTGAACAAGACTGTAATTTATTAGTGGCAGGACTATATCACTTTTAATGAAGAACTACATGATGAATTATTTTCCTGTAATTGATGGGGGGAACTGTATCATATATTTTTTATTGAGGCTGTAAATATTATTAAATTTGGTGTGTTTTTTTAAAAAAAGAAACATGATTGCTCATTTCTCCTTAAGATTCTCACTAAACCCCAGGGTCAGATATTTAATATTGTGCCTCTTATGAATACTAGTCAGGAATAAAGATGACAAAATTGAAGGAGATGAGTTCAGCTCAGTGAGAGAGCATATACTTTGCATACAGGAAGGTGCCATGTTCAATTCCTGGACGTTTTGGGAAAAAGCTGCCTGGAGAGGTGCTGCCTATCATCGTTGAGAATATTGGGCTAGAAGGACAAAGGATCTGACTCAGAGTAAGGAGCTTGCTATGTTTCTGCTGTCATGCCCCCCCGCCCCCGTGAGTCAACATATAGAACTCTCTATATAAAAATATATCTTGCTGGATGGGACCTAAAGTCCTTCTGCACCAGCTTTTCTCTGATTTTCTAAACAGTGAACAACCGCATGGGTTTTGCAAAGCAACAAGCAGGGCATATGTTTAAAAATACTACCTTTACACTTTACATACATATGTGCATCATCACTAAGATCTACTGGGGAGTCTCTCCTGGATGTCTCTGCCAGTACAATTAATACACTGGCCGAAATCCAATAGCATAACTAGGATGATTTTAATGGTGGTTTTCAGAAAATGAAGAGTCCTCTTCAATTTCTGAAATTGAATCTCAAGAAAGCCTTGGAACCTTGGGAAGGGGATGGAATCAGGAAATTTCTAAAGAACCATAAAGGCAGATGACCTAATTAGTCTTACATGGTCTAAGTTACATTGCTAGATTTCAGCAACAATGTGGAGGTGCAGGAGGGGGCCTTCTCTTGTCAAACTCCAGTTATAGAATGCCCTTTCACAGACACCTGCTTGGTGCTGAAGTTGGCTTCATTTTAGCACCAAATTAAATCTTGCGATTTTGGAGACTCTAGGGATCAATATCTGCTTTGCTACACATGGTTTTAAATCATTTTTTTTCAGAAGAGTTGGTTTCTGTTATTTTAATTCATTTTTTAAAAATTTAATTTTTTATTGTCTGTAATCTGCTCTGAGATCTTTTTGATATATAACAGGGTATAAATATTTTAATAAACAAAGTATCTTTCATATGGATAAAGGAAAACAATAGGAACAAAGATCTATCAGCTATCTTTCATTTACATTTCCTAATTCTCAAAGCAGCAGACCAATGCTGCCAAATTGAATAGTAACAGGCCAAGTGCTTAGACAGCTAAACATATGGATATCTTTCTGGAGTAAGACTGTGGGCTTGACATCTTTTCTCCTTTCCACCTTTTTCTATTCTTGCAAGTTAGCAACAGGCAAAACTAAAAGGCATCTTAGGATGTATTCACCACAGATGGAAGGTGAGTAGGAAAGTATGTTTTGCTTATATCCTGCAAGATATAAGCAAAACACTAGCTTTCATCTTTAATAAAGAAATCAAAACCACAAGTCGATATTTATGGCTCTGTCTCAACATAAAACCTCAATGCCTATTTAACAAAAGGAGCCTAGTTTATTGTTAGTGCTAATACTCTCTGCAACAAAGATAATTTAACAGCTTTGTAGCAGTTCATTTACATGATAATACAAGCATTAGAAGGCAAGCTAATTTAAGGGGCTTTATAAATTGCAAATGAAGGTTATTTTTATTGCTTCACTTGAATAAATATAGCCTTCAGCACTATATCATATAACTGGCTGACTAGGGAGCTGCCTCATTAAAATATAGATCTTTTCAGTAGCATTCTCTCTGCAATCAATTGTACTCCTGCTGCTCAATCTGAACAAATCAAAGAAGCAACAAGACAATCTTACTAGTCCAACTGGCAAACAATAATAATAATAAATAGCTGTCTTACATTGCCTATCTGCTTTTAAAAATTTTTTCTGATAGATAATGAAAACTCCATAGTCCAGTTTGAAAAACCGGGATGGTTTAAGTGAATCCATGAAGGGGTACAAGACCGATTTACAATGTAATGGTAGTTTGTCATCCAAAGACCTTTTTACACACATTAAACTTAAGACAAGTGTGCAATGTATGTTTATCCACTCGCAGTCTGCAGCATTGATAATTTGCACAAACAAGTGAACTGTCACGGAAGGCATGCTTTTCAGATTTGGCAGAAAACATATATATACGTTTTAATTTGATGTATTTTACTGTGAGTCATCAAGTGTAGGATAACCACTTGAAGAAGAGTTTTATAATGCTGTATATTTTGCATTTTTTAACACCTTCACTTGCATAATGTTAAAATTGCAAGCAATAATGATTCAAAGCTGAATTAGATTTATTTTAGGTCTATGAAGTGTACTTCATTTCAGCTTCTTAACCATTAAGACACTTCTGGCTTTATTTTAAAACATATACACACAAAACTAGCAAAATCATTATTACAGTAATATTACTGAAGTATAAATCGCATGCTGGGTGATTGTGTTGAGAAATGCATGGTTCACATGACACCCACAGTTAAAACATGTTTTCTGTACAGGGTTTTTCACCCATATTAGCAAGAGTTTTCCTTTTGATTCAAGAAAGCATATACAGTACATTGACTCACATAGTATCAAACAAAGGGTAAAAGGAGATTTTATTAAGATTTGACATAACGTCCAAACCACAGACTACCAATGTTTGAAGCTAACAAATTACTGAAGTGGATTAGTATTAATTACGGTTTATCATGGTTTTCAGTTGAAAAAGCATGATTATGGAAAATTAGGCAAGGGTTTTCCTTGTTATAACAAAGATCAGCCCATGGTTTGGCATTGAATACAGCCAATGAAGGTCAGTCAGAGAAATGGTCCTTTAGTTCAGTAGTTCCCAATCTGGGGTAACCCAGGTGTTCTTTCATACCTGGGGCAGAAGGCTTCTGGGAAATGCAGTCCAAAAACATCTGGGCTACCCAAGGTTGGGAACCACTGCTGTAGTCGATTGCTGAATTCATACATTCAAAGTACCAAAACAGTAATTTTTTTAAAAAGGAAAGTTTTTTTCTGTAGTTTTTGCTAGATGATGTTTGAAGTTTAGAATTATTTAGGTGATAAATATACTGCAATCTACCATAATGACAGTGAAGGCAGCTTCAATTAATGTAACCTTTCATATAGAGGAAAGCAATGGTTTTCACATTTAACACAGCTCTCTGTTTTTACAGGAATGGTCATTGGTCACCATCAGTCACTGTGGAAGAAACACTTTAAACCAGACTTTTAGAGAAAATACCCCAATATATTTGTCATTGCTTTCCAAAGTAAATGCAACACATATATGGTGTGTTTTTTTTCTTCTGCAAGCAGGTGCAAAGAACACACATCTAGGTTTGCTGGTTCAATATTCTCTATACAATTTTCCTCCCTCCTTTACAAATACGAGCAGGGTTCCTTTATCATCTCAAAGTATCTGATGACAATTCTTTTCATAAGATGGTCTGATATTTCCAATGCAGAAGCACAAGTATAAGGACACACCTTTATTGCAAGAAAAGAGATTTGTTATTTCAGTCTATTTTCTACCTACATATATGTACAGGACATGTCAGATACTGCTTGGATATCCACCTCAACCAGATTACGTAACTAGCTAAAATGAATGCAGGACAAACCCAACAAAAGTGATCTGCATAGAAAGGATATTTTGTATTGTTCCTATAGAAAGGAAAAAAGGCCTTAGGGGAACTCAGGCACCTTCTTTCTTACCGAGCACTGAATTAGACTTTTTTGTGGCACAACCTTCCAGGTAGATTCATCTATGTACAAAAGTAAACAACAAAGATGTGTGTGTGTGATGCATGGCACTGTACAGTTAGGCACTTTCATGTCTTGAGTACACTGTTAGGAGATGTTGACAGCAATAAAGCCACATGCTACAGCTCTGTCATCTGAAACAAACTTTCTGTACAGCAGTCTGTGACAGCAGTAATTAGGGCAAATAAACAAAGCTTTATAGGTCATTGGTTTTCCAGCTCTCCTGCTAAAGTATCTTGAATAAACTTCAAAGTGTGTTGGTAGAGGAAGGAGTCCTTGTTCTTTGGTTTGCAAATATTCAAGTGACTAACTTCCACTGGAATGAGTTCTCCTATGCCTAAATCTGAAAGAGAGAAAAAAAGCAAGATGAAATGTTAAAAAAGGGACATATACCGAACAGTAACATCTTGTAAGATCTTGGAGGAGTTGTATATTTATTACTTGTCTATTTATTCAACTTCTACACTGCCCATCTACCCGCCAAGGCCACTTTGGGCAGTTCACAACACAGTAAAACAAATAACACTTAAAATGAATTCATAAAACATAATAAAAATACAAAATATCAAATTAAATGTATCAGTCCACATAAACTAAACTATATCCTCATTGGGCATGAACATAACATGTCTGTCAACAGTTATAAACAATAAGGTGGTATGTAGAAGTATTTCTGGATCAGGACCAAGAACACTGATGAGTTTAAAGCTTTGAAACCAATGTTGGCTACGTCACCTCCACTCCCATTGATGGGACAAAGACAGAACATGGGTCAAATAAATACATTGTACATATGTGTTGTTAGTTCTTTTCTTTAAAGAGATGGATGGAAGTACATCTAAAAATACTGTATACAGTATAATAGCTACCGAAAACCAGAATGTCTGCAAAGAAGGTACACGGAGCAAGAGTTCCACATGTAAATTATACTTTGACTATTTAATTATAAAATATGTATCCGTAGCTGCAAAGATTGAACCTTAAAGCTGAACAACTCCAGGTGTCCAACTTGTCCCTGCTCTACAGAACAAATAGGGCTGAGTCTAGAGTCCTTTCCACCATTAGACATATATCCTGGTCAGAATTCTATTTGAAATGCACCAAGAGCAGAAAGACGGGGGGGGGGGGGGAGGTAATGTCTGAATCAGTCTTCCTCTACTACTCCCACTGTTACCTCCCCATAGTTCTAGAGGATCCTCCAACCACCAGTGAACAGATGGGACAGATATAGGCGGTATATGGGACAGTTGGGGGTGTGTGAGAATTGACAAGATCACATCATTTTCATTCTGCCACTTCAAATTCTCCGCACTTCCTGCAGATGGAAGGAATCCCTCAGTTCATGGGAGAGAAACTCTGAATCTAATCCAGAGTAGACCTTGGGTCTAGATGGGCGGGATAGAAATCTAATAAATAAATAAATAACCCAACCTCAGCAATAAAAAAAAGATTAAAAAGGAAGAGCCTGCTAGTAGAGATTTTGTTTCGGAGGCATACTGTATAACAAAGTAGCTAAAATACAAGAAATAGAAGGGCAAAGTCACCTTCCTTTTCCAGACTGCTCTGGAGAATGCTATTTTACTGAAGTACTGTATATCTAGAAATTCTGGGCTACTACATTTTCTTGTGCCAGTGAAAATATTCATATAGTTACTGTTACTGCAATTAAACTGCAAGAAATTTGTAAAGAGAAAGTGAGAGGAAAGAACAGGGGAACAATACTTATGAAGATCTGGACTAGAAGGATTATTGATTCATCTCTGTAGCAGATAAAGTATATGTCCAAGATACTGATTTTTTTTTTCGTAGTATGTTTTTTGCTAGCATCTATTTCTGGCTCTTTTATACCACAGGATTCTCATCTCTTGCTAGATCAATAGATTTTCAAGGAGGGGATGCTAAAAATGTCAGACCTGCAGATTCTACTGGTACCACATGCAGGCTCAGCATTCTACCAACCCGTGTTGGCAGTGTCTCAGCAAAGCTCAATACAGGGAAGTTCTTATCCTTGGCAAATGAGATGAAGTCATCATTCAGTGCTTTAAGGGCAGGAGAATCTAGAGGAAGAACAACGAGATGAAGATTTTTGTTAGCATTATTTTCCCATGGATGACAGAGGGAATTCTTAGCAAATGCTGACAAGCAAAATGTTGTGAAATAAATATTGGTTTGTGGTGTCACTATGCCCAAGCCTCTCTTCAGCTTCCTTCTCCTTACCAATTCTTTTGTTTGTTTGTTTTGTTACTATGTCATTCATCTAACATTATATTATATCGTAAGTTCCTGACTTGTTATCTCACACACTCCAGGGATGGGAGCTGCAAGTATGAACTTACGCTGTTTTCTGGACAGTTGCCGAAGATGGTATCATGGGAATTGCTGTTCAACAACTTAATGTGGACTATATGACTGCACCTTTCCCCCAGTACTAGTTAATGGGAACATGAAACCATTACCAATTTGCAGACCAAATAATTCTATTACTCCAGTGAGGTTCTAGAGATCCTAAACTACTCGGAAGCAGTAACAAACTGCATGTAGACAAACAAACTGAAATTAATTCCAACAAGGCTGACCCAGGAATAGAGGTCCAGTGGATGCTGACTGGGATAGCACACCCCTTAAAAATGCAGGTTCATAGTCTGGAGGTATTTTCAAGTCCAGATTTGACCCTGGATACCCAGGTGTCAACTGAGGCCAAATATGCCTTTAGATAAGCTAGGCTGGTGCACCATTCTTAGAGACTACAGATCTGGCCATGGTGTTGCATAACTTAACTTGCATTCCATCCAGATTACATTGATGTATTATACATAGGGCTATGTATAGGAAGCAAGGATTGATTTAGCCTGCAGCAACACGTGATTAAAAGGAACGACATATTAACACATATAGTCCCCTTGGTGAAACAATAGCACTTGCTTCCAACTTCTTTCTAAGTTCAGGATATTTGAAGGAGCATTTTTTCGCATATGAATATGCTGACTTAGTAAGATTCTTAACAGAACCTCTGCTTTGAGCACTGGTACACCTACATTGCAGACATGGACAGGATCTTTTTAGCAGCTATTCGTAAGGGAGGCTATTCCCAAGTGAGGCTCCTTTTGGCCTGTCTTTACAAGTGTTCTGCCAGGTGCTGAAAACATTCCCCTTGAGAAAGGTTTCTGAATTACAACTGACTGCCCTCTCAATTATGTTTTACTGCTGCTTATATAACATAATAATATAATATAATCTTGTAACTGCAGAGCTGGAAGGGACCCTATGGATCATCAAGTCCAGCCTCTGTCAAGCAGGCACGGCGGGGAACTGAACTCCCAACCTGTAGCTCTGTAACCAGAAACCTAACTCACTGAGCTATCTGGCAGTTCTCTTGCTGTTTCAATAGCTTCCCCCCACCCCCATTGCTGTTCAATGTCTTCAGCTTGATTGAGGAAAGGGGGGTTATAAATATTTTAAACATATTTCAGAGTCAACTGATAACACACACAAGCATTGATGCTTAGAAATGTACACACACAAAGACACCTACATTACTAAAAATGAGACATACCTTTGCTGAGCTCTTTAACTTCCACAGAAGGAAAGAGCAGAAATCTAACATTTATTGAGTATTCAGCCAAGTGAGAACCACGATGAGGAACACTATAAAATATAACCCCCCGGGTATTATTTACAATTGAGCTCATTTCAGAGTCCATTGAAGCATCCAACAGCATCTTCTTGACCAGAAGACCTAAAAACAAATGTATTCATAAAGTTGGACCACGAAAGATGCTTAATATTATCTTGGAACTGCAGAGCTGGAAGGGACCCTATGGGTCACTGAGTCCAGCCCCTCTCAAGAAGGCACAATGAGGAACCGAACTCCCAGATTCTGGCCCTGAAGCCAGAGACCTAAACCACTGGGCCATCTGAGGAACCGAACTCCCAGATTCTGGCCCTGCAGCCACATGCCTAAACCACTGGGCCATCCAGCAGTTCTATCTGATGTACAAAACAAAGAGCCACGTTATTGGACAAATCACAAAGGACATTCAGGTTTGGCTCTTTATCTTGAAAAGGAGGTGGGCTCAAGCCATATCCTGCTTTAGAGGAGGAGGGGCCATTCTTCACTTCCCTCAGATGTGGCCTGTCTGCTGTAGAAGATGGAGGATGATCAGAGCCATAGTCAAACCCAACCCACACACCCCTTTTGTACTTTGGATCCTTTCTGGGTTACTTTTGTCTACTGATCTATTTTCATCTAAACAGGCAGAGGGAATCTCACAGCATTTGGAATCTTCTATTATACTATTTTATTAAAACAAAAGGTGAGTTCACATGGCACAAAGTGCATCCAACTAGCTTGGCCACATAATTTTAAGAATGTATTCTCAGCCTGGGAGACAGGGCTGGCAAAGATCTCAATAGGGGCGTCTTCTTCCCTTCTTAGCAGCCCCTCATCTTCTGCCAGAAGCAGGAGACATGGGTTAATGTTGGGGTGAGGGGAGAAGACAGCTGAGTGAGTAGATGGAAGGCACATATTAAACGTATGGATGCTCAAATGTGTTTACTAGTTGGGAAAGGAGAGGTAGGAAAAGACAGCTCTAATATATGCCGACACCCATGTGCGAATGGAATATGCCTAATCAAAGTATGCAAGCACTGTGACCTCTGAATGAACTTAATTGCGTTTTTCAGCTACTCCAAATGTCAAGTTGAGCTATAAAATATAATTACCTACACATTCCTGATGTTATCTAAATAAGAAATATTTTTATTTTGAACTGTACTGCCAAATAATCGTATTTTTAAAAAGTATTTGAAATTGACAAGATTGAAGGACTCTGGAATCATTGAACAAGTCATCTAGCATCTGGCTATTACTCAAAAACAGGTTTTATGAGAGAAAACTGCCACACACTTTTATCATCTTCTCAGCACTGATGCCTTAATTAGCTGATTGTAGCACTTAAGCAGTCTCTTCAAATAAAGGTTAAAGAATAAAGTACAAGACTGCATAGTCACAGCCCCTGACAACATCTAATTCCTGACCACCTACCTAGCTTTGCTATACTGGCAACAGCTACTGTACACTGTACAGTGTAGAGGCATGCAAATATTTAGCAATAAGCTTTCATAAAGGGACTGGAGTTGACTGCCAAGAGCAAAACTCCCAAGCTTCAGAAACCAAAGCAGGTAAGTCTGCAAACCACTCTGTAAGCAAACCTGCAGGCGCAGTGCCAAGAGTCAGAACACTGCGGCATCTGCTACTACTCATTAATCCCAATGGAGATTTAAAATTGGCATCCTGATCTAACCATGCAGATGGTTATAAAGTCCCTTTGCTTCCTATCAATGATCACCATCCTTCCCCATTCCTCAGAAGGAGCATTGCTTGCCTCTCCCTCGTGACCTGACCTGGTGGCAACACTTGGTACTGTTACAGGCGGAAAACCGGATGGCTGCTTCGCTCTATTCCAGGCCTGTTAACTTACTTGACTCCCAACTCACTATGCAATCACCACTGGGCAAGCCTACCTATAAGTGAGGGGTGGGGGAAGAGGTTGGCAGCTATAGCAGCGGCATTGCTAGCAGAGCAAGTAGAGAGATACTAGCAGAGACTCTGAGAGAAATGAAGCTACCCACTCAGGGCCCTCAAAATCTGGAACAGGGTTTGCTATTATAATGATCCACATGTGCAGATCAAGATGTCAATGGTGTGGCAAAAATTAAGACCACAGGAGTGTAAGCCACAAAAGTCAGAAGAAGAAACAGATGTGAACTTCTGTGGATATCAATTCCTATGGTGCCTCCAATGAAGCCTACAGTATTTAGTTTTTCACCACATCCAGATAACATCTGCTTTAGACCTCGTTCACATGGCTAAAATGCTGGAAACTACTGACTGAACCCTGGTGCCTAAGGTAGGACTCAAGGGTTAGGGTTAGTTCACTAGATGCTTACGGACTGCAGCAATTATTGTCCCCCAGCACTGTTTGTTTCAGCAAGGGCTAATAGGAGCAATAGTCTAGTAACATTTGGAGGGGAGATTCTCCACCTCTGTGTTGAAGACAGAAATCTCTTAGGCACTGGTATATGAATATCTGAGGGAAGAGAAAAAGTAGTGGGGCTAAGCCACACTTGACTTTAAATATTTTCTTTTAATGATGTAAGCCACCTGGGATCCTTTTTAAAAAGAAAGGTCAGGTAAAAATATTTTAAATACATAAATAAATTTAACATGTCTTTTTTAAGTCAAGGGACCGATGCACTTGCCTCCCATACTGTGTGAGAGCCAGACAAGGGGTCGGTCTCCAACACCAGCAGCTCTCAGCTTCTTGAGAAGCTCTGCACTCCTGTAGGCAAGAGACTCCCTGCAGATTAAAGAGAGAAAAGTAAGCAGGAGGAGCAAATGTTGAGATAATTGTTTTTAAACCATATTCTGGGGGACCTGAGGTTCCTGAGAAGCTGACCAGCCATTCCTCATGCTGTGGAAGGAAATGATGCTTGAGAACAACTGCAGAAAACAAAGAATGTAGCTGGAAATTGTTAGGCTGAATTCAACTTATGTTGCACAAACTTGTAGTATACTCAGCTTCATATCTATTCTAATAATACCGGTCACTTGGGAGACATAAGAACATAAGAAGAGCCCTGCTGGATCAGGCCAAGGACCCATCTCGTCCAGTGGCCCCACCAGATGCCTCTGGGAGCACACAAGACAACTAGATACCTGTCTCCTGATACCCCTCCCCTGAACCTGGCATTTGGGGGTACCTTCCTTCTAAGCCTGGAGAGTGTACATCCCCCTCATGGTCTGTAACCTGCAATGAACATTTTCTCCAGGAATCTGTCCAATCTCCTTTTAAAGGCATCTAGGCCAGACGCCATCACCACATCCTGTGGCAAGGAATTCCACAGACTAACAGCACGCGGAGTCAAGAAAGATTTTCTTTTGTCTGCTCTCACTCTCCCAAAACTCAACTTTAGGGGATGTCCCCTGGTTCTGGTATTGTGTGAGAAGGAAAAGAGCTTCCCTCTATCTACTTGATCCATCCCCTGCATAATTTTATATGTCGCAATCTGATTGAACCTTGAGGCCTGAGACAGGATTCAAGGGTTAGGGTTAGTTCCCTAGATGCTTATAGACTGCAACAACCATTGCCCCCCAGGACTATTTGTTCCAGCAAAGGCTAATAGTAGCAATAGTCCAGTGATATTACACATCAGGTGTAATCCTGTAAATGTAGTCAGGATTTAAGGATAGGACCTCAGCCATCCAGTAGCTTGTAAATTTTAAAGTCTGAATCTACTATAATGAGGCCATAAGTGTCTGAGGCAGCATGTGTAGAAGTTTGCCCCTGAATTTTTCTTTCACCCTTTTGTTGACATGTTTTTTTCACTCACTGTGTTTTGCACTACTGATCCAAGTTTCGGTTATGCAAGCCAGGTCGGTTATGCAAGCCACTACTGTCCCCATCAATATCCCCCATGCTTTGTCCACATATAGAGTGGCACATCTGTGGAACAGGCGTCCCTGCTTGCGTGTAGGCTGTCCATGAGCAAGAATCTCAGTTTTCCAGAGTCCTTGTTTGTGAGCAGAAACCTCTCCTCTGCAGCCATGTCATTCTTTAGGCCAACAAAACACTTGTGGAGAAGGAAGGGGGTAGGAATGTCCTGCTCATGTGTTGGAGAGAATCAGGGAAGTAATCCTCAAACAAATTTTATATTGTATGTATAAAATTGTATGACATGCAACAATTTTGGGGGATAAGAGATACTTCTATAAACAGGGGACCATCAGTTCTTCCAGTGGAACACCACCATCCTTCTAGGTACCTATACAAGAAGAGGACATGAATAAGGTCCCAGATGGCTCTGACTCTGCTGTAATCTTGGACTATGAAAAGATGGTAACCTGAGGCTCAAACCCTAATGGTAGTAGCCATAGGCATTTCTGCAACCAAGGAAAAATTAAACAGCAGAGGTGGTTGTGTTTTTTTTTTAAACAACACAGAGAAACCAAGGATATTTACAAATAGAGGGTGCCTTCTTTGCTATGGCTCTGTCACTAACAAAAATATACACTCCAAGCAGCAGCATTCTCATTCCATGGCATCTTCTATTGTAAAAAATTTTCAGGGAGCAAGACAGGTAAATACCTCTGACTGAGACCATATAGAGCTGATAATGAATGGAACAGGCAGCCCCAAGCTAAACAGAGCAGTGATATGATTAGAGATGAAAATTTCCTAACATTTCCATTTTTTCCAAAAAAAAAGGGGGGGGGGGCCAGGGACCTTTTTTTTCCAGAAAATTTTGAATTTTTCAGAAATTTTACATCTCTAATAGAACCCCAGAGTCCTTATAATAAGAAAATATAAAATGAAAACACTTCTAAGAACATTTTTCCCCAGAAAAAAATTGAAATGTTCAGAAATTTTACATCTCTAGATATGATCCCACATGATGCACCTTCACATGTTTATATAGCTGGCTCTGATTAAGTCTTCAAAAATCTCCTAAATACGTATGAGAATTGAGTTGCAACAGTCAATTACTTGGCTCAAGTCCAAATCCAATTTCTGTAATTTGTATTGCCTACAATGTATAAGTATTTTTAAACTTTCACCCGAGGCACCACTGTATAAGTATTTTTAAACTTTCACATTCACTAGTCCTAACAAAATTCAAGATTCTTTTATAAAACAGAAATCATTCTCTCCTCTGGATATTTAACAATTATTTACATACACACTTCCACATAGTCTCCACAATAAGTTCACACCTTCATTTGTTACCTGTAGTTCTCCACAGGACATGTCGCCTTCCAATCACTCAGGTGGGTATCATATTCCACAGATATAATTCTAAGGGATGGGCAGTCTGATGCTAACCATGTCTAAATTTAGAAAACAATACAGAAAATAATTGAATTCACAGAAGCATTGGGGTTTCAGACATTCAAACCAAGACCAGTAATCTATTTTCCCTTAATAGTGAATCAGAGTAGGGAACACATACTACAGTATTAAAAGTGATGGTTTGGTGTGGCTAGAGCCATCTCTGATGCCATCCCAGTAAAATTGTCCTTTTAAAAATAAATCAGTAATGAAGTACAGTACATGCATATGTATGAACGAAAGGCTTTTAAAAAAAACAGTAATTTAGTGTATACAGGTATGTGTACATGGATGAAGGAGGTATTTTCCTTTGACTCCTCCAAGAGGCATCCTTACTGTCATTCTGGCAGGTTGATTAAGTAAAGTCCACCACTGGGTCAGAACCTCAGAACAGCCACGACCAGGACAGTTATAACCACAGGCCAAAGAACCAGGATTGTCAGCTTCAACTTTGACAAGGTTCCTCTAAGCCTAATAGCTCTGCAGAGCATAATTTTAGAAGGCAATGTTATTTCTGGCATAATGACATGGCGATGGGAAGAGAACTACCACTCTGCTCTGCCACGGTCAAAGGCTGTTACTTTTCTGCAAAAATAAATCTAGCAAGTCTAAATGAAAGGAGGGGGATAAAAGGGATACTTTCCAGAAGGCCTGAAGACACAGTCACATTAAACACACACTGCATAAATCTTAATGTCTGTCTTCCACCAAGAAGGACAGACAGTGGGTTAGTATTACACAAATCATTTTCAAGAATATGGGATGATGAGTCTATTCTTCTACATTAATCACAGACTATATATTTTTTAATTTTGTAATTCATATTTCTTTAAGTTTTACACATTTTTGAAAGATTGCACGGTGATTTCATTCATCAGGCTCACATGTGCCGTACAAATCATGATATTTATTTATTTACTGGATTTCTATCCCGGCCATCTAGACAAAAGGTCTACTCTGGGCAGTTTACAAATTTAAAAACAATAAAACCAAAAAACATATACTATAAATCCAAGGTGGTGAAAATATAAAAAATTAAGATACGGCAGGAGGGAAAGCCTGCCCAAATAGCCAGGTTTTAAATTTATTTCTGAAAACACCCAGAGAGGGAGCCAGG